AAGCAAACTTTATTTTAACTGATAACGCACGGAGGACAATTTTTCTGTCATTTATAATATTACATCATTTTTTTTGGGGGGGGGAGGGGTTATTGTACTGTATTGCTTTATGAAGCAATTTCCCTGTATACTTACATTACAGGTGCGAATCGGTTATTAAACCGTTATTTTGTACTGCTCGAAGACAGTTTCATATTTCAATATTTTATACTGCGAAAAGTTAGGTTTCCCTAATTTCTTTACATAATATTTAACTAAGCTAGTGACTAGTGCTATATTTCAATGTAGAGTATGTACTGTATATGATGAAAATGAAAGTCCTGTTTAGCCTTGAATATCGGTGGTGCTTATAACAATTTCTGACAATAAAATATAGTCCTCCATTTCTGATTTTACAGTCAATTCTGTGGAACTCAGTGCTGACTTACGTTGACTTAATGCACCTGCGGCCGATCACTGATTATTTGCACCATTAAGTGGCCGACTAGTGTGTAAAGGTTGCGGCCCCTGGTATATATGAAACAAATGGATTCACACACTATGATAAAGCGGAAAATCATAAATTTGTCATGCAATGAATAAATTTGTATTTTATTAACATTAATAAATGAGCAACTAATACAAGCCAAGTTAAAGGGAAGGTGGTTGCGTAGGACAAGACAGAATATATAAATATATAAAACCAGTGATGTTTTCCTCATCAGGTTCGTTCCAGATCATGCGTTTTCAAAGAAAAACGCATGGGAAATATGATTAACTGACTGCTGACACCACCGTCACCCAACGAACACTATTGTTGGGAAAGAATTACTGTGTTGTACTGTGATGGATTATGTAGTGGTTCAGTACTGACACACACACACAGGTAAAGCGAGCACTGGGCTCACTAACGCAAACAGGAAATCGGACATTTATTTCAGAAAGTTGGACGGAACAACGATGACCAATACTTACCTAAACTGGCGACTACTCCTCCAAGCTGTCTGCTAAACTTCTCCTCTATCTACAGAGCCGTTTTAGAGCTAATTAAACAATTTTCATACGAATTCACAAACACTCGGTAAACACAAGTAAAATAAAGGAAACTTATAACACACATAGTAAAACAGAGGTGTTGAAATTGTATCTAACAAATCAGATAATCATTTATAAAAATATAACAAAGGCTGAGGTACAGAATGGCAAACGGATCCTTATGGAGGTCCTCATCCCTTGACCTAGTGTGACGTCATTCTCAGACCAGTTTGTTTTTTTACCGGGTTATGAAACATTACTCCCGGGAAAAGTAGGTTGTAAAATTAAAAAAAAAAAAACTACTTTCCTTGCCTGAAACAATTAAATTGAATACAATAAAAAATTGTTACGATAAACTTTCAAACTTCCATCGGTTACATTGCCGGGAGCTGTTGAAATTTTGGAAAATGTACTGTACATTCTGGAAAAAAATTCTGGAGCAGCCTCATCGAGTTTCTGTGAATGACATTACTCGTATTATTGTCGGTTAACTTGACGGTTCGGCGGTTTTACCCCGACCAGAACCGGAATCCTCGGGTCTTAACTGAATCAAGTGAAGAAAATTTATAACTTTAGTGACATAATAAATACTGTATAGGTGTTTCATATTATAAAACAAACTGAATTTTCCTCTGTTGAGATACAGAAACACTTGTAATCTTTTAATGCCGACATCTACTAATTCTTTCCTGTTTGTCATTACTGCTGCTTTTGTGATATTTTCAGCAAGCATCTGTGGCAGGGCGGGGAGACTGGGTTATCCCCAAGGTTGATGGTGGACGGTGTTCCTGGTATAGCGGCGGCTCTCCCCCTAGTACAAGCCGGGTAAATGGTCAGGAACTGTTGACGAACATAAGTTATATGACATTTTGGAATCCACATAAACACCCACGCTTATTTTTTTCGATTAAGACTGATATCTCTACCAATAACGTGTTTGCAATTTGATACGTTTCGCCTTTGTTTCTTGTGGTAATTAAGGAGCGACAACGGGAAAGCAGTTGGACATACGGTACACACACTAGGCCTGGCAAAGTTAAACATTATTAGTGGCTGCGATTTGAGTTTAAACATTTGTGGAGCAACTTGTCTAGTATTAATGATTACCTCAATACGAATTCATGTACATAACGTCGACCATACAACTGTTATAAAGTACTGGGTAATTTATAGGGAATAAGTACACAACAAGCGGCAGAGGAACCCAGCTGTGAAAGAACGTGTTTTGTATTCTAAGTGTCGTCAGTCAACTCATTTCCACTGGGAATCTGAGGTGATGTTTATTGCCCGGCAGGGAGTTAGAAACTTAAAATGCGTGGTAGTAGTGGCGGTAGCGGAGTGCATGATGATCAGTGCCGGATTTAGACCTGTGGAGGCCCATGGGCAGCCTCTTTGTGGAGGCCCCCCTCATTATAACTACCCAAGAGGGTGAGGTGGCGAGTGAAGCGAGCCTAAACATCTGGGAGTCCCGGGGGGCGCTGTAAGCCCCCCGGGAAAATTTTGAAATTTGAACACTTCTTTGGAGAATTTTGAAGCCACGTGCAGTTATATTGAGGAAATTAGAACATTGAGAAATTTTTAATTAACTGTATATTTATTGATAGTGTACAAATTCCCAACACACACACACACACACAAAAGTGAGACATGACTGGAGTCATCCATGTGGTTTCAAGTCGACCAGCCCTGATATAGCTACTACCGCACATGTGGAGGCCCCCAGATTGTGGAGGCCCCTGGGCAGCTGCCCACTTTGCCCACTCCTGAATCCGGCCCTGGTGGTGATAATGGCAGCGTGTGGTAGAGTGCGTAACGGTAGTGGTAGTAGTGGAGTATTTGAAGGTAGTAATGGGGGGTGGTGGAGCGTGTAACGGTAGCGATGGAGTGCGTGACGGTAATGTTAATGGTGGAGTGTGTTACGGTAGTGGTAGTAGTGGAGTATATGACGATAGAGGTGGTAGGTGGGTGGGTAGTAATGTGGTGGATAACGGTAGCGATGGAGTGGTGGGGTGTGTGACGTAGTAGTGTGTACGGTAGCGTGGAGTGTGACGGTACGGTAGTGTGTTAATAGTAAGTAGTATATGACGATAGAGGTGGTGGTGGTGGGGTGTGATGATGGTAGAGGCCCGGGAGGTTCATTGTCGCACGGGTCATGAATCACTTTGTTGGGCGTGTTTGGGGGGGGGGGGGCCGCTTAGTCATGGTACTCGCTATGTTTATAACCCCGGTGGCAGTGTGTGGCCCAGGCTGCAAACACGACCAATGTTGGACAATTACCACGAGCAGGACTATCTGTGCACCCACAATTTTTTATTTAAATAAATTAAACTTTATGGAAATAAGCCGTTAACAGCTTCATTGAAAAATAGAAGTGATTGATGGTTAATAATTCCTTTCCATGGTACTTTGATAACAATTATTAGTTAAATTCACTCCCGCTTCTAGACGAATATTTACTCTGGAATTACTTAACTTGTTAATTTAATCTATCATCCATCAATTTGATTAGTTCAGCTTTGGTTCCCATAGGCGGGGTTCAGCGTATACTAAATTATATTATGTATTGTGTTCATATTTCGCAAAATAAGTATTGCATTGTATAGTTATGAAGGAGTTATTAAAAGCACAGTTGAATTTTAAACTGCAATCTGAGTCTTTTGGAATGTTATATCATGGGATATCCGTAAGTAATTTTTTTTATAGTTTCGGATAAAAAACTTTTGTCAGAAGTTATCCTCCCCGATAACCAGTTCATACGGGTAGTTAAGCAATTTGGGTAAATTTTATTCAAGTATCATATCGGTATATAATTTACATACGGCTAGAGAGCGCCCGTCAGTCAGGTTGTAATTGATTAAACGCGAGACGCCTAAACGAAACAAAAACTTAACCTTACCGAATCAAACTTAATCAACTGTAACCCAACCTATAATTAAACTTACCTCAGTTCGGCAATGTTAAGTTAAGTAGTTTAGTGATGTCCGCTCGTCAGGCCGCACCTCTATTATGCGGTTCAGTTCTGGTGCCCTTATTATATAGAATGGATATCAATTCACTGATGTCGGTGCAGCGAAGAATGACGAAAATTATTCCGGGACTTAGAAACCTTCCATATCAAGATAGATTAAAGAAACTAAACTTGCATTCCCTAGAAAGACGAAGAGTGCGGGGAGATATGATAGAAGTATTTAAGTGGGTGAAAGGAATCAATAAAGGCGATATAGATAAAGTTCTTATAATATCCGAGCAGGATAGGAGTCGGAGCAACGGATTTAAGTTGCATAAGTTTAGGTTTAGGAGGGAGATAGGAAAGAACTGGTTCACAAATAGGGTGGTGGACGAGTGGAACAAGCTTAGCAACTTTGTAGTAAGTGCTGGAACTCTGGAAAGTTTCAAAAGGAGGCTAGATAGATTCATGGATGATAGTGGTAGTAACTCTCGACAGGAGCTGCCATGCACAGGCCAACCGGCCTATTGCAGACTCCTTATGTTCTTATGAGTGGTGGTGGTGTAGAAAATCTAAGATCTATTACTAAAAACTTCCGTCACTCACTTGAACCAACCTCTCTTGGCTGACGTTCGTCACTATACTTGCCTGTGTATAATTATTGGCCCCTCGATGAATAAGAATGAATTATATTTAATCATGAGTTTAACGCATATTGTGTACTGCAGAGATTAATTCATTATATGTAGAAACGAGAAACAATAGTTGACCAAATACACGTGGCACTGTTGGTGTTCGTCCTATAAGAAAATATACAAACTTTTGCTATTATTCATAAACATCAACTGGTTGAAGTCCATCATCGAATTAAAGTTTTTTTTTTTTGCAAGACACTAGTAATGCCTTCGAAAACAAAACGCCAAAGAAAATGTAAATCAGCATTCTCCCTTCAGTAAATTGTGTCCTGTGGATCTTGGCTTCAGTAGTGCGTGGACGCTGCAGGTCGCTGCCATAGTAACCAGTTGTTTACAAATAACACAACACTGACTTGACTCCGTGGCCGAGTGTAATGATTGACTAATCGTGCAATTATATTGAGCTTTTGAACTGTGGAACGTTGGAATATGGTGTCTAGCGTAGTGTTATTACAATACTCGTAAGTTTATGATTTTATGGAAAGAAAACTACGTGAAATTTCAAATTTAGATGTGCTAACAAACGTTTTGTGAGGTGCATTTATAGAAAGGAAGAGTGAAGGGAGACAAGGGCAAGTGAAAGTGAAATGTGAACAGCACGAGGTTTTTAGATATATGTTATGAAAACTACACCTGATATGTGTTCATGGTTCCGAGGTTATATCATCGTATACGCATTTATATAATTGGAAAGTAACGTTTCTTCGTATTTATCTTACTATCAAGAAAACATTACAAGAGTGGCTGGTTGACACAAGCGGTAACATGCGCCAGTCACAGAGCACCTATATAATCAATACTGAACCTGTCCCATGCATGAGATACAGTACGTCCTGGCGATCAATAACAAGTCTCTCTAGATTTATTGTTTAACGAGTCCCGTGTGTAGCGTCCGTGGTCCCGTTTCACAAAGGTTCCTGTTGTGAATAGTTCTCGTAAATAAAGATGTAAGAATATCCCTAATTGGTTTACTTAAGCTGAAACATAAAAATAACAACCGAAATATACCTTTACTTATATACATGCACTTAACGCCACACAGAATTTAGCAGGGGAATCTCTCTTAAGCTGTGTTTTGCCTCATAAATGATTTAAGTGAAAGTATTTAATGTTATTTTGATGTTTTAGCTTCAGTGATGCTTGAGGTGAAATCTGTTATTGTTAATTACGAGGACAAATTCATCGTACGAGCCTCTGTGAAGGCAGGCCCTAGTTCTTTGCTTAGTTTTTGGATTCTTTCTCTTGTGACTAGGTTAAGAGAAAGAAAACATCCAGTTATACTTTACAGATAAAAAGTTTTGATATCTAGTTATTGAAGACAGTCCTGCAGTGATTTATATTCGGTGTATAATGAAAATAAAATAGAAAAAGATTATCATTACATGTTTCTCGGAGACAAAAGAGCTATATCATGAAGGAAGTGTACTCTAATCTGCTTGACCTGAATGTGATAATACCATAAGGAAAACTGATGGCACTTGCATGTACTGTATGTCCAACAAGATTACCGCTGATTATACTGAAATAGAAATAACAATATGACCTATTCAAGAATCTGGGCGTTAATATGCAAACTACAATCACAAATAAACACTACATATAAATACTCCATATGAAAAATCAGAATGTTAAATCTGATATACCATAACAAGATATTCCTGAGTGGGAAGTGACTAGCCATGGTTTGAAGAGGCAACGCATTAGGCTACTTGTGTCCGCCATGCCTCAGACAGCCAAGAAGGCGCTGAAACTCACCACCGAAATTGACATCCATGCGGTGAGAGTATATTTGCTTTGTTGTTTGATGATGCATGCTGTGAGAAACCAACCTTTATATTACTAGTTTAGATATAATATTCTTTGGAAACTAATGTAATAAAAGCTGTGACTCGTAGTTTATTTTTGCTAGGGCGAAGTATGACATAACCTTTGTTACCTTTATACAATATAAACATTCATTTATGACAGCCATCATAAATTTACCAGGCTCATTTGAAGCGATCCTAATCTAACCCAACCGAATAATTTAGGCTTAGTTTGCATTCTACTCATAAGGTCCGTCTCACACGTATCCATCATTTTTTTACGAAGACTGACTTGTAAAAATAGATTGAAAGTCAGAACCCGGTTAGTAGCTCTCTATTTCCCTTGTTTGTTCTTTAAATCTTTCCTTTGTTGCCCATAATCAGGTTATGTACATGGTGGTACCTGATGTTATCTGGATAGCGCTAACTAGACATTATATCTTAAATACTGTAATGCTTTTATAAGCATCAGTGGCCGTTGGGTGGAAATTAAAACCGCGTTCGAATCCTATATGCAGAACAGACAGGTCAGAGTTTATTTTGCGAGTACAGGGTATTGTAGTTATTCGTGTCCGCATTAACGAAAGAGTAAATTAAGATGGTTTTAATTGTAATTTCATAGTTCAGCTTCACGCAGCTGTTTGTTTTATTATAAGTTCTAATCAATATTGGATTTATTGTAAAAAGCGAGAGGGGCGCCTCACACACGAACACTAGGCTCCGCAAAGGTCAACAGAATTTCATCACAGCCATGACGGAAGAAATTCCCTGGCGATTACCGAATCAGGATCGTGGTCAGGGCGGGGATGTCACTCTAGTCACCACGCCTCTGCTAACGGACATGGCTAGTGGGGGAGGCGTGGGTAGCCCTGTATCGAGGTTGGTGGGTGTGAGTAAAAATTAGTGGGCGTTGGCAAGAGCTTGGCAATTGGCTCTGGAACTCGTGTGCGGGGTAATGTTCATGTCAACGGACGTGACTAGCACCCTGATTCTCAAAAGTTCAGCTCTTAACTTTTACCTCCCAATTGAGGGTGAGGGAACGTATCCAGTTACAATAGAAGATGGGTGCACCGTCGAGGGCATTATGATTGCCAATGTTATACACCAGCATCGAATCAGTGAGCCCGGCTAGCCACAAGGGAAAACGAATCTACTTATAAACGCACGAATATATAAATGAAAAATAAATAATCAATATATAATAGAGATTCGTGTCGAGTATTAAGTTTAGATACTGACGTAATTGAGTCTGAAATGCGACTCAAATTTTATTCAACAATACACAGAATTTATGATGGGAAGTTATCAATAAGGAAAGGTGTCAAAGAAAAAAAAACAATGACTGATGACTTGGAACACAAGAGCAAATGAAAAAGATGAGTGAAGCATAGGATGACACCAGACTAGGCTATACCAAGGTCTACTAAAGAGGCTCGTTTATATAGACCTTGGGCTACCGCTATAAGAAGCTATCGTGCTAATAAAATCTGGGAAGCTTTCTTCACTCGGAAATCTATTTAAGTATACTGTACATGATCTAACGTGACACTTTTTCCTGGGATATATTTCGTCAGGCATGGGCAGGACGTCGCAATAGTGTTACGTCATTGCCGGAGCAGTTTATTTTAACGTCTCTGTTTACGTCGGGATGCATGCCTGAAAAGGGCGACGTTATTGAAGATATTACCAAAGCTATTTTTCTCCTATGAAATAGAGGTATAAGGGGGATGTATTTTTACCGAGGAAAATCTTTCAGGTGGTTAAAGTAAAAAGCTTAAACTGTACAGCTTAATTTGCAAACATGGAATAAAGCTTGTATGTGTTCATCAGGTGTCGTGCCCTGGGGTGTGGCTTCCGGGGAGAGGGCGCTGCTCCCTCTCCGTGTGCCTGCTGGGCTTCCACACCCGCACCAACAAACTGCCGCCCGTCTTTCCACTCCTCTACCATGAGAAGTTCAAGTTCGAAAGGGTAAGTAATTAAAGTTTCCCTCGTTAACCCACCTTACTTGATGGGCATTTAATGGAGTTCGCGTTCATTTGTTTTATTTATTAATGTAGCTTGAGAATACTGTACGTAATTCTAATGTATAATATGGTCTTGTTTGATAGGCGGAATTACGTCACCCGGTTCACGAATTTCAGGCACAGGGGCTAGTTTATTGTGCAACCCCGTGTTTCTGTGGTGAAGTGCTAAAGTATTACAGGGAAGCAGCGGAGTCTATGTTTACCTTCTTTGACCTGCATTATCAAAAGACGTAAGTGCCTGAGGTGGCCATAGTTGTGGTAGTAAGTTACATGTAATAAAGGGAGGAAAAGTCAACAGAAGGGGAATCACGATAGAGGTACTATACATCTATTTATTGTAAACTGTAGTAGGTCCCTAGATTGTCAAGCTCCACCTAACTTATCTGTAGGAGGAACATCACAAGTATAACTCCACCAGACCCTTTCCACTATATAGAATCTCCATTACTATGATAAACTGAACAAATCTCAGCTTCTCAATGAAGTTTCTATAGTTCGTCATACCCAGTCAGGTTGTGTTGTTTTCTTCCTCCTAATTCCCCGTCACTGTTGCAACTATGTGGGGATACGTCCATGACAAGTAAATGTGTTTCAACCACAACAAAACACTTCCCACCTAGAATTAACCCTCCCCCACCCTCGGTTATCTCTCCCCCACCCTCGGTTATCTCTCCCCGCCATCGGTTATCTCTCACCCGCCATCGGTTATCTCTCACCCGCCATCGGTTATCTCTCCCCACCCTCGGTTATCTCTCCCCCACCCTCGGTTATCTCTCCCCGCCATCGGTTATCTCTCCCCCGCCATCGGTTATCTCTCTACCCACTGACAACCCTCACCATCTTAACACCCTCCCCGCCCACCACATACTCCCCGCCCTGACGCCCCCTCTACTTCCCACCAGACGTTCGTGGGCGTGCGTAACCTGAGTGTGCTAGAGAAGGTGCTGGAGGCGGAGACGGTGTACTTGGAGCTCGTGCAGGAGGAGACGTCCGGGGAGGCGGTGCTGGCGGTGTTTGAGTCCTCCGTCAGGGACCTCCTCTTCCCTAAACCCGCCGAGAAACTCTCCTACTCCGGGGTCGACCTTGACCTCCTCATGGAACCCACCAGGGATTTTCCGGTAAGCTGGGGGGGGATTCTCGGGAAGTAGTGGGGACTTATCGGTAAGCTGGGTGACTTACGTGCTGACAAATACGCACAGATAAACGTTCTGGCTCGCGTATACACACAAGGAAACACAGACAGACACTATTGACCCTCATTTACAGAGACAATGGTTCACGCGAGTTCTCCTCCCACAGGGCATCATCTCTCCTAAAATCGAGGTGTCGACGAGGACGAGCGTCAGCGAGACGAGGACCCCCCTCCACCAGTGTAGCCAAGACAACGTCAGCTTCGGCCACGCCCACAACAGAAACACCAAAGTAAGGCCCAGTGGAGGCGAGGCGAGGCGAGGCGAGGGGGTTTAACTGGGATGCTGTGTTATGTCTTTCTTTGTTTCTGTCTTTGACTCTTTCTCTGCCACGACCTTCAAGAGATGACCTCCCAGAACTGGCTGTGCCGAGGGCGTTTGGGAATTTACCCGAATCTGCAAAATCGGATCGAGATACTACACACAGTCTCTCTCTCTCCCTCTCTCTCTCTCTCTCTCTCTCTCTCTCTTATCTAATACTTTTCTCTTATAGTTCATCCACTCAAACTTAGCGACTGTGAATAACACGGCTCAAGCATCTACCTTCCTCCCCCAGGCCATGTACCGCTCCAGTTCACCCGAGGAAGGGAGGAAAGGTGACGGAGGAGGCGTAGGTGGAGGAGGAGGAGGAGGCGGCGGCGGCGGAACTAACGAAGGCGTGGCGGGAGCGATAGTTGGTGCCAATCACGAGGATGAGGTGGACGATCCCCTACCTGTACAAAACAGCCCCCGACGAGGTGAGTAAAACACTTAATTTATCTTCAAATTGAAAGTATAATTTTAGACCAAACCATTAAAATCCTGTGTACTGTATATCCAGATCATCATACACTTCCTGGGTAACTATTGATATACCCTACACACTGAGGTGGGTGGGGGGGGGGGTCAAAGAGAGAACTGGTACTGACAAGAGTTAAGAGAACTGTAGGACGGTTATTTTCATTCACCTCACCACAGTTAATGTGAGTAAAGAGAAGTTGAGAGAGAGAAAGAATTAGAGAAAGTGAGAGAATTAAAGAAAGGAAATGAGAGTAAGAAAGAAAATTGAGAGAAATGAAAGAAAAAGTGAGAGCGAATTTAAGAAAGTGAGCGAGAAAGAAAGAGAAAAGAACGATAATTAGAGAGAAAAATGACTAAATCACAAACTGAATCCCGTTCTCAGGGTCCAAACTTAAGCTATAACAAACTAACATCATAAACTGTCCCCCAGAATTACACAACAGATTCTCCCTTAGATACGTTCACTTGGCACCAGCGAGAAGAGGAAAGTTGCTTTACAAAATCTACCCAGAGAGAGAGAGAGAGAGAGAGAGAGAGATGAAGAGATTATGTAGGAATGCGGATGAAAAGAGAGAGAGAGAGTGGTGTCCAGGGCTGGTTTAAGGTGTGGTGATAATGATGGTGGTCAGGTAGTGATAGTGGGGTGGCAATGGTGGTGGTCAAGGGGGGGTGGTGATGTTCAGGTGGGGGTGGTGGTGATGGGCAAGTATCCGGGTCCTGACTCGTAAAGATTCACTACATTCGCCCTTTTCCTTTAAATAGTGCTAAAATACCTCATCTAGGTAAGGTAGAGTCTTAGTACACTCCTCGTGCCATTTTTGGGACTAAACTTTTAATGTTTCATCATTTTCAGCCAATTGGAAGTGTTTAAATAGCTCAAATTTTCGCGGGGAATTTAGCCTCCGAAGAATCATGCAAACACTGCACTACAAACTTTCCCTCGGCTGGTAACGGTCAATAAGGCTTACCTGTATTAACCCTTACTGTAAACTAGGGACTACAGGCGATATAACTCGGGTTACAGGGGAGACTTTCATATCTTGGCTGTAAGTTAATACATTATTCTGGGAGCATAGCGTAGTCAAGATGGCATATGAATACGATATTCTAGAGAGTGAATACTTAAATGGAACCTCTCTACATGTTAAACAATTCATTTTACTGTGTTTTCTTTATGTACAAAATGCTGTGTATAGTGTAATGAAGGTTGTATTGTACAGGCGAGAGCAGCCGCGGAGGAGCGAGGGACGACGGACCTAAACCTAGATTTGGGTATCGGCGGCCTGACGACGACTTGCTCTCCCGTATCCCCTCCTCCCCCACACGCAACACCAGGTTAGTCACACCTCATGCTCCTCAGTAATATGACTCGTAATATGTAGATAAATAAATGTATAAAATTTATGGGACTAATAATAAATACGATCTTCATGACAAATTAATAAGTCATTCAGGCTTTACAGTTTCCATTTGTCGCCCACAGTTCAGAATTACATATTATGGTAGGCAATATTTGTTTGTTTTTATGGATCACGCAAAGAGTAGCCCCTCCAGCTTATCTTACTTGATGGTTAAGTATTCTGACGCTACCTGGGGGAGTTAGGGTTAGGTTAGATTTGCGTTAGAGCGTTGAATCATCTGGTGAAATAAGCTGGGGGGTGTTAATCTACCTCTCTGTAATAGACACCTCCCAGTGTGTCATGTATCAGGATGTATCACCATGGTAACCTTCCCTCGACAGGTATCTTGGTATCCCAAGTCGATACCTGTCAAGGAGTGCCGGAAACCTGGCCGACATGCCCCGCACCTCTCTCTCCAGCAGGTAGGTGTCCTCTTCAGTAGGTAGGTGTCCTCTTCAGTAGGTAGGTGTATTCCAGCAGGTAGGTCTTCTCTCCAGCAGGTAGGTCTTTCCTCCAGCAGGTAGGTCTTCTCTCCAGCAGGTAGGTCTTCTCTCCAGCAGGTAGGTCTTTCCTCCAGCAGGTAGGTCTTTCCTCCAGCAGATAGGGCTTCTCTCCAGCAGGTAGGTCTTTCCTCCAGCAGGTAGGTCTTCTCCAGCAGGTAGGTCTTCTCCAGCAGGTAGGTCTTTCTCCAGCAGGTAGGTCTTCTCTCCAGCAGGTAGGTCTTTCCTCCAGCAGGTAGGTCTTTCCTCCAGCAGGTCTTTCCTCCAGCAGGTAGGTCTTTCCTCCAGCAGGTAGGCCCTCCAGCAGGCAGGTCCAGCAGGTGGTCTTTCCTCCAGCAGGTAGGTCTTTCCTCCAGCAGGTAGGTCTTTCCTCCAGCAGGTAGGGCTTCTCTCCAGTCCAGGTCTTTCCTCCAGCTTCTTTCCTGGTAGGTCTTTCCTCCAGCAGGTAGGTCTTTCCTCCAGCAGGTAGGGCTTCTCCTCCAGCTGGTAGGTCTTTCCTCCAGCTGGTAGGTCTTTCCTCCAGCAGGTTTCCTCCAGCTGGTAGGTCTTTCCTCCAGCAGGTAGGTCTTTCCTCCAGCTGGTAGGTCTTTCCTCCAGCAGGTAGGTCTTTCCTCCAGCTGGTAGGTCTTTCCTCCAGCAGGTAGGTCTTTCCTCCAGCAGGTAGGTCTTTCCTCCAGCTGGTAGGTCTTTCCTCCAGCTGGTAGGTCTTTCCTCCAGCAGGTAGGTCTTCTCTCCAGCAGGTAGGTCTTTCCTCCAGCAGGTAGGTCTTTCCTCCAGCTGGTAGGTCTTTCCTCCAGCAGGTAGGGCTTCTCTCCAGCTGGTAGGTCTTTCCTCCAGCAGGTAGGTCTTTCCTCCAGCAGGTAGGGCTTCTCTCCAGCTGGTAGGTCTTTCCTCCAGCAGGTAGGTCTTTCCTTCAGCAGGTAGGTCTTCTCTCCAGCAGGCAAACTGGAGAAACTGCTTGTACATCATTGTCAAATTATAACAATTATGTCTTCTGTGACGCCGTTCTCTACATGTTAAAGATTGCGATGGTGTCATGTTTAACCTGATACATCTTGGTGATTTGGTTAGGTCAGGTCAGGTCAGGTCCACACACACACACACACACACGTACTGATAACCTTGAATATCTTGCCTAAGAGTCTGGTGTCGTGTGGTGGTCTAGGTACGGCAGACAACATGGAGGCTCTTCTGGAGGAGGCAATGGCAAGACGTCCAGCGAGACTGACGGAGGACGTTACACTCACCCCAGACGACGACCCAAGGACGACTTCGCTCACCACGCCCATGTCTCTCTCCTCGACCCTAGTGAGTTACTGCCCTCTCTCTCTCTCTCTCTCTCTCTGGGGCTCTAGTGAGTGAATGAAAACAGAACTTCAAAATTTGCCTGTCGAACGCGTTGACTCTGGTAAGTTTGACACACACACACACACACATACATACATACATACATACATACATACATACCTCCTGTACACACACTACCTCCGCTAAACGTAAAATGGATAGACTAGAAAAGTATTTTGTAGTTCATTATTCTCAGTGTTTTGATGCATGTTTACGTCGCCTCTCTACACTGATAGATAAACTTTTGCATATCGTTAATGTCTAAAATATGCATGTGTGTTGTAGTGTTTTTTTTATTTATTTATTTTAATTTTTTTAAGGTCACAAGTTAGGTAGCTGACCGCGAGAATGTATTCGTCTGGGAAACACACACACACGCACTGTCCTTAAGACGACCCTAAAATATAACGCCAGAAACACATGGGAAACAAAAGGCAGAATGAAGGCTGTCGGTCGAAAAGATCAGAAGGTCACAGCAAACAGAGACATACGAGACCCAGATTCCATCGTTGGGTAACAGATAATGACTTGTGATTGCCATGCCCTCTAGGGACCCGGAATCGAAACACGCACTTGTATTATGTTCTTCAGTTTTTGGGGCACGACGGAGACATCCAATATAATGTCATGTCTTTTTTGTGGGATCGGAACACACTTTTGTGATGTTCTCTTGTTTCTTTTGTTGGGATTCTTAGTCTTCTTAGAATTGCTAAATGAGATCTGTATGAGGTATGATGACAGGTGTCTCTTACCATATCAACATCTGCTCAGATTCTGGGTAAATCACCTTTTGTATCGTGTATTGGCCCCGACCAACAGCGGCCAAGGTGGTGTTTATAGCTGAACTTCCAGGAAACAATTCTTTTGGTTGAGTGTCTTCACCTGTGGCCTTGCTGGTGTGTCTGTCTGTATGTTGGTATACCCGCCAAGGTGACGCTGAGTTTATCTAATTTTGAAAGTGAGATTTAACGTTGTGTGTGTGTGTGTGTGTGTGTCAGTGAGTCGTGTGTGTGTGTGTGTGTGTGTGTGTGTCAGTGAGAGTCGTTTGTGTGTGTCAGTGAGAGGCGTGTGTGTGTCAGTGAGAGTCGTTTGTGTGTGTGTGTGTGTGTCAGTGAGAGTCGTTTGTGTGTGTCAGTTGTGTGTGTGTGTGTCAGTGAGAGTCGTGTGTGTGTGTCAGCTGTGTGTGTGTGTGTATGTGTGTGTCAGCGTGTGTGTGTCAGCGTGTGTGTCAGTGAGAGTCGTTTGTGTGTGTCAGCGTGTGTGTGTGTGTGTGTGTCAGCGTGTGTGTGTGTCAGCGTGTGTGTGTGTGTGTGTGTGTGTGTGTGTGTCAGCGTGTGTGTGTGTGTGTCAGCGTGTGTGTGTGTGTGTGTCAGCGTGTGTGTGTGTGTCTGTGTGTGTGTCAGCGTGTCAGCGTGTCAGTGTTTGTCAGTGTGTGTGTGTCAGCTTGTGTGTTTGTCAGCGTGTGTGTGTGTCAGCTTGTGTGTTTGTCAGCGCGTGTGTGTGTGTCAGCTTGTGTGTTTGTCAGCGTGTGTGTGTGTCAGCTTGTGTGTTTGTCAGCGCGTGTGTGTGTCAGCGTGTGTGTGTGTGTGTGTGTGTGTGTGCGTCAGTGTGCGTCAGTGTGTGTGTGTCAGTGTTCGTGTCAGTGTGTGTGTGTGTGTGTGCGTGTCAGTGTGTGCATGTCAGTGTGTGCGTGTCAGTGTGTGTGTGTGTGTCAGTGTGTGTGCGCGCGTCAGTGTGTGTGTGCGTGTCTGTGTGTTTCAATTGGTGTATGTATGTATTTCTCATTTTCTTTATTTTCCCGAGCCCACATTTGAAAGGACTTTATATATATATATATAAAAAAAAACGCGTACATATTCCAACACATCCTATACATATGGTGTCTCCGAGCGAGGGTCAGACATTTTTTTCCATTAGCTTTCCTACGTGTGGAGGTGTACAGGCCCTCCTCATCCCCTCCCTGACAAAGCTGGGACGCTGTGGGTGTGGTCCGCTCTCTCGCGTTTACCATTTTGGCAACTCCACACACACCCTCCCTCCAGTCACCCAGATCATAGAATTAAGTTAAAATAGTATAGTGTGTAAAACAATCTGCTATGATTCGCAGTCCTTGTTTATATTTCGTTTGGGTGTTTTCTCTGGTGTATTAGATTAAATCATTTGTTCTTATGAGAAAACAAAAACCTAATTAAATTTCATGATTCGCCCATAATTATAAATTCTTACGAAAGCAACATAATGAGTATAAATAGAACTGTGATGTTTGTGTTTAAATTTATTCATTAATACTCAGTAGTTTTAACACTAGGATTCATACTTGTAGCCCAGACACTATACTAATATAAAATAATAACCTTGCCACGATTGTACAGATAAAACCGTAACTCACTGATGTCTTAGAATTGGCACTCAAACCGACCAAAATTTGCACACTAATCGACCAATGCTAACAATGCACAAAATTATAACTATATCTACAAAGTGTATTAGAATAGAGAGTGTATTAAACATTTAAACTAAAATACAAAACAAAAACAGACGCGCTAAGATATATTTGATGTAGTAGAGAATTAAAGGTTTTAACACTGACACTTCTAGAGCGTTGTCCGCACTGTGACGGGGAGCACGGCGCCGAGTCATGCACCACCTGCCGCACCTACCACCGCTACTTTCCTCGCCCGCCACGCCCGCGCTCTCACGCCCACGCCTACCATGCCAACAATCCTCACGCCGTCCTCAAGGTTCTCCGACAGCCCGCCCACAGAGAATTACGCCCACGGAAGCGATACCTAGCCGAGATCGATGGGTATATGTATGGTAGGGACGAGGCCTGAGTGTGGTGGTGTGTGTGTATTTTGTTGTGCGTGTGTATGTATCAGTACTATTGTGTGTGTGTGTTTTGTATCTGAGTGTGTGTATGTGTGTGTATATGTGCAGGTGTAGTGTGTATATGTGCAGGTGTGTGTGTGTATATGTGCAGGTGTGTGTGTGTGTGTTTTGTATCTGAGTGTAGTTGTATGTGTGTGTATATGTGCAGGTGTAGTGTGTGTATATGTGCAGGTGTGTGTGTGCGCGCGTGTGCATGTGGGTGGGTGGTGTGTGTGTGGGTGGGTGTGTGTGTGTGTGTGTGTGCAGGTGTGTGTGTGTGTGTGTTAAACCCTCTCGCCATCCTTGTTAATTAATCGTCCTTGTACTCGTCTTGGTTTACCTGTTTTGCTTCCATTCATTCATCAACACAGGTTAGGTGGTGAGTCAGGGAACAGGTAAACACAACACTTAGTTTCCAGGTACACCGCACCACACCCCGCCCCCTCACCCTACCCCTCACTACCCTTACCCCCCCACTTGTCCTGCTTTTTAGTACAATAAGGCACCCAGTTAAGCTATGGTTGGCACAGATTTAATTACAATAAAAATGCAATAATGAATAATAAATAGTAATATAATGGTATTAATAATGTAATAACAATGATAATGAAAATAATAGTTATAGTAATAATAATACCTTAGGATTATTTTTCGTAACATGCACTACAGCACAAACTAAAATGTTAACCCTTTAAATACAATGATTGTTTTAACTCTTTAAGGATAATAATAATAATGATGATGAAGATAATAATAACTAAAACAATAATCCTCAATGGGTTAAAGTTAAACCATTGACTTACACAAAAGTTGTAGTTTAAACCATCATGCTTAAAGGGTTATTACCTAAATTATCAAAAGCACAGTGTGGATACTTAACAAATCTTTATTGTTAATTCATTCAGTCAATTACTCTGCGTCTTTTTTCCCTGTCTGAACTGGTTCTCGCCGTTCCAACAGGAGACCGCGGCCACCCTTCCCGACGAGCCCGTTCCCTCTCTCCACAACGTCGGCCGACCTCCGCCCCGCCCGACAGACCCGACTCCACCTCTGTACACCCAGATAGAGGGGAGTTAAATTCCGACCATCTGAGGAAGGACGTGGATGACCTGTCGGGTGATGAGGATAATGAATCCAAGTCACCCTCTAGGTCCCCCTCGCCCCCTGCCAGTCACGCCTCGGCACCTGCAGCCATCAGTCACCGTCGTCCCAGGTCCTATAGGTGACAACATCTTCTTTTATTGATGGTAAAATGACTCCTATTTGTTGTGGTAAAACATGGACAAATTGAGGGAAGAGATGTTAAAGGAGAAATAACAATAATGGAAAATTAAATAATGGGAATAAGATGAAAGGGAAACAAAAGAGTAAATGCTAGAAGAGTAGGTGTTCTTTCTTATCCATTATTTTCACCTCTCGATAATTTCATTCTCTCCCGATTCTGCTTAATTAAGGGAGCTCGTGGATAATTGTATTTTACTGGTCTAATACATAAAACCTTTTCTATCCACCCAGCAGACGACCCCTCACCCCTAGCACCCGTCGGCGCTACTACGACTCGGATGAAGACTCTGGCGACGACCTGTACGTCCCCAGGAGGTGAGTGAGACATCAAGGACCTCAGGATGTTACGACTTCATATTTACCTCTAATGTACTTGAGTGATTGACCCTGTGTGGAGATTTGCCTAAATAAATATCTCTGTATATCCAGGTACTACCGTCACCACTACTACCCCTGGGAGGACTGCCCACTCTGCTACCCGGACTACCCTTACCTGCCCCGTTACCCGCGCCTCTCCCGGTACTACTCCGCCCGTGACCACATCCACCGCTAGCCTCCACGCCCACCTGCCAGCCCGCCCGCCCGCCCTCCCGCCCACACACATACACAACCATCCGTCACCACCACTCCTGCCCACCTACAGTCACCACCCCTCATGTTGTGCCTGTGTGTGTATGTGTGTGTAATAATAATAATAATAATTAACGGTTTATTGAAGGAGCATGGCAGCCGGAAGGCTGAAAATATACAGTTGCATAATTGGGGAATGGGTCTCTAGATTTACAAATAATATACAAGTAACAGAAGTGATACAAATATGATACAGAATAATAACTAGGTGGGGAGAAGCTCAAACTACAGGGCATTTCAACATGGTGATAGTGCAAAAAGGTAAGATGGACTGGGAGTGAATACACTGGCTGATTACAAGTTATTGGTAATTTTTACAATGGCTGGGACTGGACTCTTCTTATAGTGTGTGTGTGTGTGTGTGACTAGATGTTGCCTAGGCTTCTTATAGTTAATCTTTATCGTATTGGTTTGTTGTTAGTAAGGGGTATTTGATAGGTTTTCATATGATAAAGGAATATCTCTAGATTTAAGGCCTATGGCTCTTTATTTACATACGAATGAACGATTGTGTAACTTACTAATCGAATATCATTAAAAAATGGTGGTTTGTCTCAGTTTTATATATCTTTCGCCTTTAAGGTCAAGATCAGGAGGAAAAATAGGATCTTAGTCTAAATTTTTTACTCAAAGCATGTAAGAAGTCAATAATCTCGATTATAAACTTTCAAGGATTTTGGTTCTTGAGGAGGGGCAATAGGCTCTCTGGTAAACACGAGTGACGAGGAATTAATCACTGGATACAGTAAACCGTACTAGAAAAAAAAGTCCCTCAAGTATGAAAAAACCCATCAGTCAGATCACGACAAGTGGGCAATGAGCTGTTTATTCATATACTTTCCAGACGAAATGAACCGTCTTAACTTAACCCTGATGATCTACGAGACAGCTTAGGTTGTGTGGGTTGTTGGTTCTTATCGTTTAATTATATAAAAAATGACATTGTTTAGTTGTCGTAATCTGTGGTATTTTTAAACATTGGCTACAAGACAGACAGATCTTACAATTACCTACCTACAGATCCCACTGGTATTGTGAGAGAGATAGAGATGACATGAAGTTAGTGGCAAGGATATTACAGTATTGTAGTAGTTATTCATTAGGTATCGATAAATGTTTTGGATGTGGTGATCTAATGAATGTGTTTACGTTAGAGTATGGTGGTGATAAAATAATAGTTATGTTGATGATAGCATATTTATATCATGAAAGTATGACAGTGGTGATGATGGTACTGTATATGGTGGTGGTGGTGTACTGGTGGTGGTGACAACGGGTACTGTTGTGACGTCATGTGGCACGGCTAACCTGTCTGGTGTGTTCACTGGAGCGCCCCAGCTGTCCCAGGTCCTAGTAACTTTAATGTTCCCAAATTTTAGGGCCCACTTGAGGCGGCTTAACAGAGACTGCACTCAAGGGGCCGACTGGTAGACACGGTTGAGGCAAGTGTCCCAATTGGCTACCTGGTGAAGTTGACCTCAGGGGGAATGCTAGGATCCGGGTCACTAAAAAGATGCACCAACACACATCTTTCTTTCATATATGCTTATTACTTCACCAGGCTAATGACCAGCATGTGCAGCACCAGGGTGTTACTGTGGCACACACTCACACCTCATAGAGAATGGTTTAGCATATACAGAATGCTGTGAGGAATGAATTACCCTGTTAGAAGATACGTTTGCAACTAATGAGATGATGCACTGTTGAATGTAGGTGAATAAGAGTTTGTAATTCTTGTAGCCAGCTTATTAATGATGCAGTTTGTAAGTTTGTAGTTAATTCTCAACAAGTAAATGGACTTTTTTGTTTTCTGACCCCTTACTGCAGTAGAGTACTGTATATGTCAATCACTTATTTACAGTACCATGCATTATTTTCTTTAACTTTGCAAAATGTGATTCATGATTCTTCAATGAAATTGTGGGGTATGGCTGTATCTCTCATTTTAAGTACGATCACAAGAATTATGTTCATACCCTGTAAATCATTTGTGTAAATGTTTTACTTGGTGTGGGTATTCTTCCCAAGGTTGTGTTGACAAAATTACAGGAACTGACAAGTTCACTTGCAGTGCCTTTCATCTGTAAGATCTTCACATCAGTAAATTTCGAGATGTAAGTATAAAAGGTAACTACCTTATACCCCAGACCATTCCAGATACCAATTTAAACAGGCTATATAATGGATGTCTTCACATGTATCAGTTTGACCATCTGACAAGGAAAATCCACTCATTTCACCTTAAGCTGAATTTTATGGAAAAGACATAGCCGGTAATTAGTTTTTCTCATAGGTTATTGATTATCAGACTGAATCATTTCTTCAGGATGAAGTCATAGATAAGATTGTTCTTCTCCCTCACAACTTTAGTTTGGTACAGTCACCTGCACTTTTACCTAGTACAGTGGCTGGTGCATTTTGCGAGGTGTGGCACCTCTGTTTGTTTGCATAATATTAAAACTCCCAGAATTGCCATAAGGAACTTAACAATAGTAGCTAGACTAAGGATGTTAGATGAGCATTCCACAGAGTTGCCACATCTCTCACAAAATGCACCACTGTACCAGGTACAAGTGCAGGTGACTGTACCCTAATAAGAGGCTTCAGGTATCAGTTGGACACTGATTTGTCAAGATATCCATCACAATGTTACAGGAGTTGGAAAGTTTTTTATTTCTACCTTCAGTACCTCTTAGCAAGGATGTCATGTTAGATGGAGAATAAAGTTAGTACCACTTCCTCCCATTTTCTAAGAGGTCTCAGTTGCCTAGCAGAAAGTAATAAATGAGGAATTAATCCCAAACTCCCATTTTATAACCTAGCCTGTAACTGGGTGATTTTGACTCCAAATTTCAAATTGCCTGTGACATAAAAGCTAGAAGTAAGGTGGTACATACTAGCATTGTCACAACACTGCAGACTCCTACTTATGAATGTGATCTTCACTTCCAAACCTCCTTATTTTAAGAGATTATTGTGATGAAGAGGAAGAACTAATTATGTGATGGTTTGAAGGGAAGATACAGCATACAGCTATCAGTGGATGATACTTGGTCACTAAAGCTTAGGATCACCCGGGCTACATTACCAGGTCTGTGAATTCATTACTGGAGTCTCCTGCTGTGGGCTGTTACACTGTACTGTGCAGTGGGATTTCAGAATTAATCTTTCATTTTTAACTGCTCTTTTGCTTTTTCCATTTGCCTTGTTACACTGCCACCGTCTCACATTTCAGCCATAAAATCTAAATGAATAACATCAATATTACTGTTTTTAGTACTTTAATGTTCACAATACTGTACTTTACTGTAATGTATGGTAATCAGGTACTGTATTTCTATATATTGTATATGAAAGAACCAGTTATAGGTATTATTACTTCAAGAATATGCAGCACTTGTATGACTCTTAACTCGTTTTTAGATTTGATTACAAATTTACAAATGTTATTAACTTAGAGCAAAATGGTTGCCTTCACTCACCATGCACATGACTTGAATCTTTACAGAAATGAGGGACACAAGTAAAGAATCCATCCTCTGCACTTGAATTCTGAAAGTGTTTTTAAATTTGTGATATTACTGTACTATAGACTGGACTGTTCAAGTACACGTATTGCCTTTTATCTTTACTGTGTAGCTTCCTTGTAAGTTTTATACAAGGTAAAAAAATAAGAAAATGTATATTTAAAAAATTTGGCCTTAGAAATTTGTATTTTACTGTACTATACATTATTTTACAGGGCCTGGATCTGTATGTTATTGCATGGTACATTACAATACCAATATCAAAATGGAAATATGTATTAATGAAGACAATCGACTGTAATGTATTTGTCTTATTCTTCAAATGTCATTTCAGATATGAGAGGTACAGGTACTTCCACAGAGCTACAGGCTGTCGGTGTTCGTGCTCTACCTGCTCCCGTTATTACTCTACCTGCCATTACCTGGGACGGCCCCTTAACTCTTACTACAGGTACCGGCCCTCTTGCCTTCCCTATTACCCATATCGCTCCTCCTACAAGCCCTACAGCAAGTCATACCTTCGACATTTGGAAATGCTGGACTCTGATGATCTAAATCCAAGTCCTCCATTAAAATTACCCAAGGCAACTAAAAAAGCTGGGGAGATTAAGGATGCCACAAGTGAAGACTCTGACTTGTTTGACAGTTCTCAGGTGGAAGAAATTGAAGAAGGAATGAGTAAGAAAAGTCGGCTGACCAAACGAGAGAATTGGCTCAAGACTGATACAGGGGCTAAAGATGCTTCTAGAGGTGTGAATGAGGGAGAAGCAGGTCGTTCTCAAAGCCATGTTACAATTCATGAAGAAAACGAATCAAAGAAAGTAGAGGACTCAAGTGGTGAATTCTTTAACATAGATTGACTGACGTAAGTGTGGATGACAGCAAGATATAGCTAATACAATACATTCGAAGAAACATGTTGCAGTACTTTGTTTAGCATATAAAATAATTATTAGTGTCGATAATTATTTTATGTTGTATATTCCCTAGTTTTTGTAACATAATTTAATGTTTAAATATAATTTGAATTCTATTTAAGAGATTAGAATTGTAACTTATTCTGTGCAACATTAGCAAAGATACTACAGTACAGAACATTTACTAAGATGCACCACTCTCGCTTCCCTATTCAACCCATTGTAATAGGTCGACATCAGCATGTCTAGTGGCTGGGATTTGTTTGTCATGTCGCCAGGGAGGAAAAATTTCTCCATCTACAGTACTGTTTAATTCCAACTACAGAGGCTAAAGTCCAGATTTATAATTTTTTTGGTTCCCTACAGATAAAGTAAGGTAAGCTTAATGTGATGTTAGAACTTTTGCAAAATTACTTGTCTTAGTCTTTCTTGGTAGGTTAAATTTTGCAGTTCTTGGACCATTCTTGTTGCTCTCCTTTGTACAGAATTTGTTCAATGGTATCAATGACCTTCCCAAGGTGACCACATCTGTACTGCCAAATCAAGAGTTTTCCATGTTCATGTGAGTGAATGAGTGTCGTATTATTCCTAGCATCTGAATTATTTTTTATGATTATTTCCTTTATGATTTTCACTTTCAGATTTGAGTTTGTGTACCTGTACTCCAAGGTCTTTCTCTCTACTTGTAGTCCATGGCATTCCATTCATTTTATAGTTAAAGTTTAAATCTCCCACTCCTGAGTAAGGGGTGACAGTACTCCAAACAGGGGAGCACTGTACTTTTGAAGAGCATTACAAGGAGCGGACTACTTAGGTATCTGAACAAGTTTCTTACGAGACCCACTAGCTTAATCGATTGATTCACCTTCTCATAATGGTCCGAAAACTTCAGTTCATTGTCAACATGCATACCCAAGTTCGTTTTACATTTGGTCACCGTTAATGCTGTTTCTTCGCTCCATTGGACATGTGATATACCGGGTACCTCTTCATTGTTGGTAGTATGACCTCTTGCTTTTTGCGAGGCTAAATTTTAACAGCCATTCCTTTGACCACTCCTGAAGTTGATAAAGATCTTTCTGAAGCTCTTCAAAGTCTGTTTGGTTCTTAATTTCTCTGAATAACTTGGCATTGTCTGTGAACATTTGTATAGAGGAGTGTATAGCTTCTGACATGTCATTTATAAGACAAACCACAATGGGGCCAGTACACTGCCCCACGGTACCTCGCTTGTCACTAGTACACACAACGATTTTTGCGATTAATCGCCACACACTGCTTGCGATCAGGGAAAAATATCCAATTTGGAAGCTGTCGAAAGCTTTGGCAAAGTGCGGATATTTATTGTCAATATTGCCACCACGCTCCAGGATCTGGGTCTACACATCCAGCACATTAAGTACTGTAATTATACCAAGCAAGAGCATCCCGGCATAAAACCCTGTTGGCATTCCTTTACTAGGTTGTTTCGTAGTAGATGTTCCACAAGTTATCTTGTTTAATGCTCTCTAGTACTTTACACACTATACTAGATAAGCTCACTGGCCTATAATTATTAGTGCAGTGGAGATCTTCGTTTGAATGTAGGTCTCATATACCATCTAAAGAATAGATTGGCCTTTGCCTCGCTGATGACATTTGGTGACAATATTTAATTGTCTAGTCATAAAGATCTTGCACTCCAACAAAAGTAACTAGCTAAGTATTCAAATACTGTACAGTGCTTGTACTGTACAGTATACTGCATCAAATTAAACTTATGACCATAATTATCACCACAGGTCTAAGTGTTGGGTTATGAACTGCAAAGCGGAGGATTTTGACGATAATAAATGTTGCCTGTACAAATAATTGAGTTAATGTGAGCGCTTAGCAGGAAAGAGCAGAGTTAACTACAGCCATTTGGTGGCGTCACTGCCGCCTTGGTTACAGGCTGGCTTATAGTGGTGCATCTTACTGAGTGTAGTATCTTTGATATTAGTTAAGAATTAGAAGGTGCAAGTTTGATGATGGAACTATCAAGATGATCAGAATAGAAATGAGAAGTGTTTCTATTGTTCTTTGACCAAATGTTGATCAATTAAACTGTACTGTACTGTACTGTACATGCAGATAGGGAAAAGTTGGAGGATACTTCAACTCCTAAATAAAAACAATTATAAGTGACAGTAGAAAAAACTTTTGTAATGAGCAGGGAAAAAAAGTTACTGTATGTGGGTCAAAGATTCTGATGAGCAGAAGAAAAGCAATATGTTCTACTGTACAGTACAGGTAGTCCTTACTAACTACAGGGGTTCCATTCCTTAAAACTCCTGAGATGTCCATAATTTCAATATTTGTAATGTGTAAAAATGTATAAAAGTACAGCTACTCCCTGACTTACGACCTACTCGACTTACGACCACCTGCACATACGACCGCCTCAGTCGTACCAAAAAATTTTCAAATTAAATATTTTCGAGTCCCAACGTCAGTGATTGCGCTGTGTACTGGCAAAATTTACGTTTGTAATTCACTTTAAAATAGCTGGCAAGCTTAAAAGTGAGAGTTTTGTGGTAGTTTTGTGGTGCTGAGAAGAAAAAGAGACACCCATTTTAGATTTTCTATGTTTTATTAAGCATTTTCGACAAGACCATTTCGACTTACGACCTGGATTTGGGTCCCTAACCCCGTCGTAAGTCAGGGAGCAGCTGTATATATATCGTGGCAATGAGTGAATTATTGAGAGGCACGTGTGTGTTCTCCCTCTCACAGATACGAGCCAACCGAGATGTTTCTGTACATCTAAAATATTTGTGCATGCAATTTAAAATTTTTGTCTTGCACTAACATTACAAAAAGACCCCAAAAAACCATTGTGGTAATCAGAACAGTTTGGTCAAAAAGATTAAAATACACTGCTGTAAATCAAAACTGGGATGTGAATTTGTGATAAAACAAGGACTACCTATATTGTATTACATTTTTTAGTTACTGTAGTGTTCATATTCCCTGCAGTGAGTGTAGTGTATTACCAAGTACTGTATACTGTACAGTACAGTTCAGGACACGACCAAAATTAATTAGGGGAAAAAATTGATATTACATGCAAGATTGTGGACTTATTTAATAAAAATTCTTAGTTACTAATGTATGCAAAGATCACATTGTATGTAACAAAGACCAGAACAATATATGAGGTGTTGATGAATGCAAGGGTGAACTCGCCACCTTAGCAAAAATGCGATTTTTGTACCATTCATTTCAGAAAGTTTCTTTCTACTATGACGAGTTCACCTTTCGTTTACTGGCAAAATCCCATTGAATCATATAGTGCAAAACTCCCAGTGTGTGTGTGATGCCTGTGGTAATTTCAGCGTCTGGCGAGAGTAAAGGGAAGTTGAACTTGCCAGTGGCCCGGCGACCAATCACAGCCTGCCTTACTCCCTGACCTAATCAGAATGTCGGGAAGGAGCGTGTCGACCAATGACAAGGCTGCTACGTTCTATTTTTGGCATCCCCCCCCTCTGCTACCAAGTTCTTTAGTGGAGCATAATCATCATCTAGAGTGAGTGTTAACCATTATTTGTTTTTGTTTTACTTTATTACAATATAAATTTGTTTTGTGTCCAGAAATTTATTATTTCATTATTTTCATGATTGTTAATTTCATACCATTTCTTTATTTGATGTCAATCTGCACCGAAATCATACATCATACTTCATTTATTACAAGGACCATATTCTGCATTAAATTGCCTTTGAAATGAGTCCTTATTGAACAGAATTTATGGAGGTTCTATGAAGTTTTGAATATGTGCAAACTTTAAACCTCATTTTTTGTTTTGGTGCATTCGCCCTTGCGTTACTCAACGCCTCATATATCACTGGTTGTTAAGGCTCAGGTGTACTGTATATACATCCTGTCACTAGGAATATCAGCAGTACCGTACTCCCTGGAAACTTAGATACAGTGCAATATACAGTTCACCTAATAACACGCATATCTCTCCCTAATATGTCGAGGGTTCGAGTCCTGCTTGGCCCAGGCACACATGAGAAGGGTGTTATCTAGTGTGACCCTCACTATCAAACATCACAGATTTCCTCCTGTACTAACACTGGATAGACCAACTGCCCAAAATGGCTAGTAACCTGATAAGTGGTGAAATGATAAATTAATTTAACTAAGATGAGTTAGTTAAGATACCTGATAAGGGTATACAGCAGTGGAAACATATACCATACAGTATTTACAGATCTGATGGAAAATTCTTGCAAGTTGGAATTTCATAAGCATTGTGCTGAGGTGACCGGTTTGTAAAGTATAAGTGAGCTGTACTCTTGTAGTAACCACTAACTATACTCGTGTAGTTTATACCTTCCAAGGATCCTACAATGAATAAGATTCCTCTATGCTGTATATTGTACTGCATATTTCTTAATTTCAAACTTACCCTATTGCAATATGTGTCAAATACATAATTATGTGTTCTATTATGACTTATAAAAGGTCTAGTTACTTGCCAAAAACATCAAACTTCCATAAGTAAAAATAGACAAATATTATACTATCTTTATATGAAGAGTTGTAATTGATGTAAGATTTTGATCCCATGATTTTGTTTCGGTTTATATATGACAGATGTAAAGTAGCACCTGGTAATGCCAATATAAACTATCCACTTCATGTCTGTATTAAGAAACTCCTTCATTATGTACATTACCTACTTCATTAAATGTTTCCAGTTTGAACACAATAGTGGACAGCTGCTTTGTTGTACTATTTTCAAAGTTTAACCTTCTCTAGTGTTGTACATGTGGATCACATAATACAGTAGTATTAAGGGCACCTCCCTCTATCTTAAAAACCAGTAGCACAAAATGAAGCTTAAACTCAAATCATCAAAAGCTAAGTGGGCTTGTGTGACAATGGTATTTTAAACACACACCAGAAAGTAAGTAAAAATGGTACAGTATAGATACAAATGAAACAGGGTAAAGAAAAATATGAAAGTTAATTTAAGGTAAAAGAAGTATGATTGGTAGAGTATATAATGTAAGGCTCATGGAAGGATTTGGTAGAGGCATTAGAACAAGACGTGTAGACTAAAAACCGAGCAGGATATACACAAGAGAAGATTAAGGATGACTGTAAGATAAATGAGTCGAGCTCTAGATGATAAACAAAACTGCATGGAATGTTGAATAAGTTGGGGAAGAGATCTATGGGAGCTTACAAAGAATGCTATTTTGAAGACCGAAAGGTGTGGAGCTGGAGTTGTTGAAGAATTTAAGCTTGTGGGATTAATAAGAGTACAGTACAGTATTCAACAAAGACAGCCATAGAAGCTGAAGTTAATAAGAGAGTGGTGCAGAGAACAACAAATGGAACTGAGGGTTTTAATTAAAAGGAAGAAAGTGTGTGTAGACTGTTTTGCAGGAGTGATGGATCCAGAATGAGAGCAGTAGAGGTGGACAGTCAGTATGCTATTGGTTGTTCATAGAATTGTTAAGGTGAGGAATGTTGGGGGCAGAAAATATTGTAAGAGGCAATTGGATGAGAGATTGACTAAAAATGTAAACGACAGCAAAATTGAGGGCACGAGGAAGACTATAAAAAGAAATAGGACAAGCTATATGGCTGACTTTATGACCCCTTGAGATTTCACTTTTGGTAATACTTATACCAGAAGAATGACTATTAATCGTAGTGATACATGATAGTGTTAGTTAGAAAGAACCTTACAATTCTACTTGCTGGTAGTATGTACACTTGGAACTAATGTGAAGGATTGTAAATTGATGTGAAGATTTGAGATTCATTTTGTATACCATATATGCAGGTCAACCCTATGAGGAAGTATGTGTGTGGTATATTTGTACTTGTTGTTTAAGCTCTTTAATACATTTCACACTTGCCTTACAACAACCCCTATACCATTTCCCCTTCCCCCTTAAACATGAGGTTACTCTATCCTTTGACCACCCTACATATAATTACCTGTATTTTGATAGATAAAAACAGAAGATAATGCAAACCAAAGGCAAAAGAAAGTCTTCCTAAGCTCTTTACTTTGGCAACCTTTGCATCGGGCTGGGCTGGGACAAATGAAATACATGTAGAGCATTTGTCAGTTGTAGTCTCTACTCTTAGTTCTGTGACTTGATGCAACATTCACTTCCTCACCTTAACTACTACATTTGGCTTTAACAGCATAATATATTGAATATCCACTGTTTGAACCTTGTCTCCTGTAGGAATTTAACCCCTTCACTATGGCCACTGTTAATATTTTAATTGGCCAACACCAGATGATTTTATTCTGCTCAGAGGAGAGCTCATACATAAGGAGTTAATTCTTCTCTTCTAGATCTACTCCTAGTCTTTAGTATTACTGAATCAAATCTCATTAAACTGTTCAAAATGGCTATACTGTAGGTATTGTACAGTATCATGAAAGAAATACTCAAAATGTCTTCTTTCTCGTAAATGCAAATGCCATTACCCAGTAAGCAAAGTTGGTACTGTAGTTATTAGATTTGGTGTAGAGTAGCATTGCTTTCGAATTTGAGAATGAGGGAAACAATTTAGATGTATTATAATGTAAGTGTTTCTTTCTGAATGTTTGAAGTTAAACTAATAATTCACTGCCATAAGTTTTCCAATGATCTCTGGAATGATGGGGGATCTTGAAGCTGTAGTTGTACACTGAGGTAATAAGCTTGTGTATGTAGTTATTGATAATGTAGAATTTATATAAAACTGTTGACTTAATCTATTAATATTGAATGAACAGATATTTAAGTAAAATGAACAGGCAAGTTTTATTACTAGAACTCTGGCCAAAAACCAGTGCTGGCATAGGCTAAGACATTGTTAGTACAGTATATTTGTGGTACAGTAAACCCTTGATATAACAGACACTGTATGTAATAGAACCTGGTTATAATGGATACCCTAAACCTATCAAACAAACTCTTAAGATGTTCATTCAAACTGAGGTGCCAGCATGGCTTCTCGGACTTCCCCTCGGGTTAACAAGAATGGCTATCAAGATTATCGGACATTATCATACATTATCATTGGTTTTAACAGGCTTTCAGCTTCAGCGACCATGGTGTTCTCCCATTTGGTCTTTTATCCCAAGGGTTTACTGTATATTGACTGGATGAAAAAAAATCATAATTATAGAATCAAAATTTTGCTGTTGGCATTTTATAATGTACCCTTCAAAGTGTTGTACTAACTGACTACCGGTAGTTGTAACCTGGTTATTATTGACTTTTATAAATCTGCTCTTTATAAACAGTGCATAGCTTCTGTCACGTTCCAAAATAACCCTCATTATAGGAACAGATGTGGACTATATGTGAGAAATTTTTGTTATGTAATGAATCTAGTTTCTATAGTAAAGTTGCTAGATACTTTTTGTTGGCACAGTTATCAATCACATACCAACCTTAAACAACACTATAAATGGTAATTATATGCAAATATATTAGTCTCCCCCTGAACCTGAGCAAAATTACACAATATAATTTTCACACTGCAATAATAATTTCTACAACAGGATAAGCTGAACAGAAAATTTATATGCAGTACTCTATACATCATCTTATCACAACACAGGTACTGTACACAAAATATAATGAAAATCATTCAAGAAGCTTTTGAGATGTGCGTAAACAATTTACACTTCTGGCTGCCGGGTACGAACCCGGGCCACCATGGTTGGGAGTCGGGCAGCTTATCCACTGTTTACACTGATTTACATGTGTACATTAAAAGTTGATATATTTTTGAGATGTGTTGTGGATAAATATTGTCAAGAACAAAGATGAAGAATTATATTTTATAGATATCCCTTTCAAGTTAATGAGCTAAATGTAAAAACCAATCGGTAGCTTTCAAAACTGTTAACCTATTCGTATAAACTTAACTTCTTATGGGAAAAATTGAGTTACGTTCATTATTGGATAAAATTTACCCTAATTTTATATCTAAACCCCATTTTCTTAATAATTTACAGTAATATGTCTTGCTGGTACACCTTCCTTTATACAATTACTGTACAATGTTAATATTTTCCAAAACGGTAATAAAAATTACAGGCAGTCCCCGGGTTATGTGCAAGTTCTGTTCCTATGGATGTTCTCAAGTCGAAAATGTGCTAAAGTCAAACCATATATCTTATGTACATACAATACAGGACTTATTTAGGAGAACAATGTGTGTAAATCCCTAAGTCCTCATATACTGTACATCTAGAATCACTTAATTTATGAGAAAATAAGAAATAGAATGACAAAATACAGTAAATGAAAGAAAAGAAGTTATCAGGTAAATAAAATACTGTAAATTAAAGTTTAACACTTACATTGAAACTTGGGGCTGGCTTTTTGCTTTTTCCTTAATGATGGCTTGGCTTATAGGCATACACTGCTGATTTTCATCTTCCACCCATATCACTAACAATCTTTCCTATTTCTATTATCAATCCACTTCTTTGTTGTTATCACAGTTGACTGCATTGGCGGTAAGTCCTTTTACATTACGTGTTCAAGAATTTTGTCTGTCTTGCAAAATTTTTCCAATTGTCGATTGACTGAAGCCCAATCCTCTACCAATGATTGACTGTGTTTCACATCTTTCAAAACATTTACCGTAATTACATCAACTTTCACTTCCAATGCAATTATTAGTTTATCTTTTCTTGGATGCACTACTATCACTTGCATCAGATTTGCATTTGGGAGCTATGATGAGAGCAGAAAAATAGTTAATAAGCCCCCCCCCCCCCCCCAAATAAATAATTGCACTTGGTCACACACGTTGCCGAGATGAGTGGCAAGGCACATTGACACTACCACAAGGCACGTGGCTGGGTAACACTCTACTCCTCACCAGCCGCTCCACCACTCAAACTAGTTCTCGTACGTTATTACCAACAGTTGTACTTATGTCAGATTCTTAAAATAATATACTTTATAGGGACCTCGTCTGTATCGGCGGATGTTCGTAACCCAGGGACCTCCTGTATACACAAAACATAGAAAATTTTGGCCTGTGGTAGCAGTAGTGTGTAGTCATCTATCATTGCATAGGTGGGAAAATTCATATGAGAGCTTACTAACTTCAAGGGTTTTAATTAACTTATTAAAATTGGTTAAATTAAAACTGCTAATTTACAAACCACTAATTAATAGATATTAGTACCATAGCTTTCAGTAACTGTTGAGAAGAAACATTTAACACGATACACTGGTTGTATAGGGTTGGTAATATGATGTAAGACAGGCACCTAACCCTTATTTGATTTGTATGCACTTAATGATATAACTTGAAATATTTTTCCATAATTTGGTTTAGGGTTGGCATCTGATTCATAGATACGAAAGGAAAACATCCAATTAATGTCATACATGTCACAACAGAATGGCCCTAAGCATTAGTCTGAGAGAGCACCACCTGGCTGTTGAGTGTATCAGTGTCCACACCTGCTGAATCATATCACCCAGTTTACTGTAAGTTTAGTTTTCTTTTTCATACACACAAGTACTGTATCTCCCTGTTGTTGTCAAAAGTGGCTGGCCAGATGCTGATCTGATTTTTAGCATTCAGCAGCTAGTGGGTGACACTGACCCCTTGACAGGATGCTAGTCCATCGAAGGACTGTTTCACCATTGGCAAGCGTACCTTGGTAGTGTACTCATTTATTCATGAGTATATAAAGGCTAGTGCACAAAGAGGAAACTCAACACTCCCTCCATTTGGAAATTAAAGCTGCTGCCATTTGCTTGTAAGGCAATGCTTCTTGTTAATGATACCCATTGATGGAACTTAACTCAGCTGAAGGCAACTTCATGAATCTGGACAAGTATTGAGAGCCAAAAGTAGTACATCACATCATAAATATTTGCAGTCTGTGAAACACACATAAATAAGCATTAAAATGGCATCTGGCAAGCTGCTGGAAACAAATTGGGGGATGAATCTAGCGTGTGTGTTGGACATTAGGGTACAGTATTAAGATAGCAGTTTATGAACACAGACTGGCATGCAGACAATCAGGACGTACTAATCTGGCTCACTAGCAGAAAGGCTTTTGTATCTGTGGCTATAACACTCGTATGAATTATTGAGGATTCAGGAAAAATAAGTGACGAGGATGCACCAGTGTGATTTTTTTTTTTAGGTTCTTGTGAAGCTGCTAAGTAATATTCTATTCCAGTGACATGGGAATGGAACAAGGTTGGTGGTATTAACAGAAAAAATCATAAACTCTGTTTCTTGAGGTGTTATACAGTAAACAAGATGAGGTTAAGTGATACTTTCTAGATCTATGATAACTGGGTGCCACTTGTTGAGACTTGATACCTTGAGGTTTCTCAATTTTAAGACAACTTTCATGGGGTAATTGTTATCTGTACTCTGTTTTAATAAATTACTAGATAAATTTATATTTTGTATGTTCATTAACCAACTTAAACTAGTATTCCTACCAGTTCTGAATTTAATGTAGAAGACCCTGTTAAGATAAAAAAAATCACAAAGTAAGCATTAATAAACTTGTACAGTTGCAAACAAAATTCCTGTCACCTCTTCTGCTGCTCCACTAACTCTTGAGATTCAGACTTGTAAAAATCAAAACATTTATTGACAGAATAATACATCGGTGACTCCTGCTTTGGGTTTAGGAATCTGAATCTCCGGGTTCATGGAGTAGCAGAAGAGGTGACAAGACTTTAGTTTGCAACAGTACTAGCTGTATACATTAACATTTTGGTACTTTTCTCTCAACCTTTTAAAGCCATAAATGAAATTGTACAGTATTGTGTTTCAGACCTCCACTTGACAACTGAGATAGATGAAAAATAATTATTATTAGTATTGTACTTAACCATGAATTTGTTGACATTCAGTAGTTGTTTACTTGTCTATGACCTGTGCACCTGCTTAAAAAGAATGAATGAAGATTAACTACAGTATTGGAAAAATGAAACAAATAACTTACCAAATACTTGTATAATCAATTCTTTGATCAAAAATAGTGTCTGCCTCACAGGGCAAATGCATAACAACGAGACGATCACATGGCCTTAAAGGAAATACAACGTGGATATGATCAATAGTTCTCCATATTATATACTTTAAACAGAACTTGTGGTAATAATAAATACAGTATCATTCAGCCAGGCTCTAGGCAAGAGTACCATAATATATGCCCATATATATATTTAACTCCATAAATAATTAAGAACATACCCAGCTGTGACAATGAATTAATCACTTTAGGATACTTTATACTCATGCTTAATGCAGAAATAGAATGAATGGTTTGGTACAAATTTTTCACTTAACCCATGACCAACAGCTAACAAATAAAATTTAAAATTCTCAAGAAACTCCGATTCATACATAACAATATAATCAGAATCACAAAAAAGCACATGAAATATTATCAAGAACATGTTTACATCAATGCACTTGTTGCCTAGATCCTTATTGCCCCAAGACAAGTAGCAAGGGCTTGCCTAACAATCCCTAGGTCAGTGGCTGCGCTGGTAATTGATAAACGTCCTTGGTTGAGTTGAGTTTCCGTGCTCATTGCTCCATTAATTTAACTAGTAAGAGCAAGTGGTAATACCAGAAACAAAATAAAATAATTCTGAATAACTTATTAGATATTTCATCCCAACTACGAATAAAAGTTTACCTCCCTATAGCATTTTTCTGATTAATTATATATCAGCCGAGCAAAAATTATCTTCTCAACCACGACTACCATTTACCAACGTCAACACAGTGTTAACAGTCGCGGAGATAGAGGACTAGGCTTACAAAAGTAGAAACAGTAGATCACACATAAAAATCACCTCTGAGGAAAAGGTAGAGATGAAGATCACCCAAAATTAACGGGAACTTCCGAATCACTTCAATGGTGAAATCTAAAAATTGCTGCATGGGTTTGCTTGAGTGAATGACAAAGTTCACCGCTTCCTTTAGAAAACAAAAATAAAACCATAGAGAAAAAACTACCTATAAAACAAAACAAAACAGAAAAAACCACCAATTGTGAAAAGAAAAAACACTTAACCACACATGCCCTCACAATGTGATACCTCCAAAGTATTATCTGGAGTACCTTTTTTTGACACTTAGCTAACAGGCAGTACATGGACAACTGAAGATCATTATACTGGACTATACAGTACTGCATCATCAAAATACTGTCCATGCACTGGTACTGCAGATTGTTAGAAAGCACCTAAAGTTTTACCACCCAAGCTTGCTTTTTTCCCTTCATTTTAATATTGCATAACATGCTAAAAATTCAACAATCTTAAAACACTTTTTAACTGTGCTGGAACTTGTGTGTGGTTACCTTTTGAGGTTAAAATTATTCTTTGGCCTTATAACTTAAAACAAATAGGAAAAAAATCACCTGGGAAGTAGCCAGGTTATCTGTATAGCTACTTTTCAAGCAGGAACTGGATATATTACTGATTTTAAGCATTTCATACAGCCATAACAATTATGATCATCTTTGAAATTAACTAAAATTTATTGCAAGCATCATAAGCATTTTCTAATCCTGCTCCTTTCTTTCAAGAAATATGCATTCCTACCCAGTGGAATGATACTTTTCTTAATGAAAAAGTCTTCATTCTCTTCACAAGCAGACCTTACTGGCTCTTTATTTTCTGCTTCAAGTGTCACACAAATCACTTTTGGGTTTCACAAAGCTGGTTATTTGTTTTGTGACACTATGAAGCTATATGCACTATGTCACTACCAGTGGGAACTGTGTCCATAGTAGGGATGTTGATTCACATATCACCAAATATCATCTCACTGCAAAGACCAGAGCAACATCCACTAACAAGTCTCGTCATAGAAGGCTAATCTGTGTGGCCTGAAATCGTGTGTTTCATGCCCATTAACAGGCTTAGGCCATCATAAGAAACAGAACCATATTCTTGCAATTTTCTGAGCCCTGGTTTGTGAATTCCACAAACTATGAAAGAAAGATGAGCCTAATTATTCTCATCATTAGAACCTTTTGCTTGTCTCCTGATTAGTGCCTTTGCAATCTCATTCCTGAGGGCGGCTTCCTGCTTCCGGTCTGGTAGGGGCTGGACTGAGCGGAGACCATTTACAATGTCCTTCGTCTTACCAAAGTAGATCTCATTGAGCGTGTTGCGGATCTTGTTCTCCATGTCTTCTACCATGCGACCGATGTTGGCAATGTGTGGAGATGACTCAGAAACAGGGCAGTCCTGTTCCATCTGTTGGTATGGTGAGATTCTTATTAAGCTGATGGTCCTGTCTAATTAATACTTCCCCCTTCTTTTTATTCCTTTCCTGTTATTTCTATATTTGTCTGCCATCATTCTTACTACAGTATCCCTTTCCTCCCCTCTGAGGTTTCTATAACCCTCGACCCATCCAACACAAAAGAGGGAAAGGATTAAAGAGTCTAGAAAAATTCAAAAATAAAGTGAACTCTAAAGGGGTATAGATGGTGTAAGAGAAGTCACATAAAAGCATAATTTGAATGTGAGACATAACCACAGTTTTAGATATAGTATTAAGATATTAGGGTTTATGCTGAAGAAGAGTGACAAAGGGATACAAGTCATAGTTTCCTTAAGATATTTAATTCCAAGATCAGAAAACTGTAAATAAACAGTGTGCATTATTATGTGTACAGGGTATTAGGATAATTGAATGGGAATAGGTTTCAATGTTAGTATTACTATTTGTATATACAACTCTGCTCCAATACAAGATCTAGCCTCTTGTATCGAGTGAACAAACACTATGATGCACTGACCTGTCTAGTGAGTGAGCCCCCAAGGTTCATTGTGCCAGATCCTTGCTTGTTAGTTTGTAGCCATAACATCGCGGTCGAGGTAAGCTTGTAGTGTGCTGATCGTCCACTTGATTTCTCTACCACCTCGACAACATGGATACTATCCCAACAGCCCTTAATTTTCTTACTACCATCACCAGCCTTCTTTATGAGAATTACACCTGTCAAGTGAAAGAGCATATAAGGAAAATGATAACATGTAAGCTTTATGGCTTAATAGAGACAATTAAATAAAGAGCTCTGCTTTAAACTTTACATCTTGAAATGCTACCAGTGTGGTCTTGGGGAAACTTAGGTCACTTGCAGTGCACAATGATGTTTACTCCAAATACAAAATTAATTAGTTATGGAGTTGGTAAAATATGACTGATCAATGTAAAACGTTAACAACTGCAGGGGTGTGGCATAAATTCTGCTACACTGGTAACTATCCAAATGAAACATATAAGGTAAGTTATCAAGAAAAATGGATGAGACAGCAGTAGCTTCTAACGGTAATTCTCGGGGCGGTAAAATAATTTCCACCTAGTGTAAACAAGAGGGTTGACAAGACAATACATGACAGGAGAAAGAGTTATTCCTCCCATTACATTTTGTAACATCGTTTACTCCTAGTTACTCTTTAAGGTGGTGGTTCTCAACCCTTTTTGGCTGCGACCCTAAAATTTCCCAACAGTAAGGTGTCGTGACCCTCAGGCATATAATATACAGTATTATGTATATAGCTTGAATGTTAAGCAAAAATTTTTTTGACTATGATAAGTACTATATTAATAAAATTGTCTGAAGGCCCCTCGCAACCCTACTGAGGACAACCCACGACCCTGATTTGGGTCGCGACCTGAGGTTGGAAACCGCTGCTTGAAGGCATGACATCCATCTGTATCGTTTATCAGTTTCTTAATAAAATCTTTAAACATCAGTGTTGAGGTACAATCAATACTAAAATAATAAAACTTCTATATTTACAGTGTACTAAGAACCCTTTCTGTCAGTACAGTCCACAGGTATATAATTAGTATACTTAAATCCAAAACTTTTATTTACACTGTACTACAAGGTTAGGAAAAAAATAAATAAATAAAAGACCTCCGTATCGGAATTTTACCTGCAAATCCATGATCTAAATCCCAAAGATATACAGAAGACACACCACCCTCAAAGTACATATCACGGTACTGATCAAAGGCCTGATTAGCATCTAGTTCTAACTTCCGTAGCCTATCACTGGGCATGGCTCCATCTTCTAAGGGGGGGTCATAAGTGTTGCTCCAAGGTGACCTATGAAATACAAACAAAAAACATTAGCTAGTCAGTATATACAGCTCATTTCAGGTACAGGTTTTGAGAAAACAAATTACCTAACCAAGATACAAGCAGTGCCCGAGTTACGAATCACCTGCACTTACGAACGGGATCTCAATATATTCATCATAAAAATCTAACTAAAATCCCATTTTTTACATTACATGTGTACTGTACTGTATGGGATTTTGACGATAATTTTGGTAACCGCGAAATAAAAAAATCGTTATATAAAGTCGCCATATATCCCGACCCTACTGTACAGTACAGAATTTCCATAATTCTATATTGCTTTACATCACTTTATTTACAGTATTTACTTTATTTGTTATGAATGGAATATTATTGTTGTTTTGTATATATGGCTAGGGTTGTGCTTTACTGTAACCTAAACTATGGAATTTACATTATTCCGACTTACGGACAGGATCTAGGAATGTAACCTGTTCGTAACTCGAGGACTGCCAGGAAAGGTACATTGAGAAAACGATAGATAAGGTATAAAGTACATAAAAACAATCGGGGTTACATGGATTATCATTATGAAGTACATGACTGTATGTACTGTACAAGCACTACACACACAAAATATACTTAACTGGTAAATATAAAACTTTATACAGTAAATGAAAATCTAATGAATTTGTAAATAAATTTATTCCAGAAGTTTAGTCAAATGGTCTCTCTATTATACTTTATGGGGGGGGGAAGAGCACTTATGACTGAAGTGTTATACACCTCCCCATTCTTCTCTCATTAGCAGTGAATAAGTATTAAGGCTTTTCTCACCTATATGAATCACCATCTCTGTTGTAGTCACAAAGTAGGTAATCTTTCCCACTATTCTTGTCTCGTGCTATCTTGAGAGGTTGGTCGACAGATGACAAAAGTTCTTCACACAGTGATGGCACTAAGTCGATCAAGTCGCTCAGATTACGTTCTATTTGCTGAGGGGGCAGCCTACGCATCAGGTCCAACGCACAATCTAACTGCTGCTCCATCTAGAAATCAATACCAGTAATCAAATGTAGTACAGTACTGGCTATCATTATATGGTTACAATGATATTTGAAGACTTAGGTACTCTAATTAGCTGCAAAGACCTAGTAAATAAATATATCCCCCCCTTGCATGTACAGAAATGGGATGGTGGTGGTGGTACAATAGAGCACTTGCCTCTCATCATGACAAACTGAGTCTAATTCGAGATGGCGACATAAACAATACAAAAGTGTTTTAGACAGCAATAAAATGTTTATAAAACTAATGAAAACAAATGAGTAGCAAGGTTGTAGATATTTCTGTGGAATGTTTGAGGTAATTAATTTATTTATTCACATACAAAGCATGTACGGACATCATTTTAGTGTCTTATGATCACTGTATCACCCAACAATTTCCCTCATCCTTCATACCCTGTCCACTACAGGTGATTTATGATCCTAGATAAGAGAAAAAATAAAAGTTTCATCGTATTTATTAATTACTATCATCCAAACAAGATCTGTGCAAAATATGAATTTAATTAAACAACTTCTATTGTTAGATGTCTGCTCCACTATTACCAAAATGTGTTTCATATTACAGAATAGATTTTTCAACTGGGTAACTTGGGGAGCCAATTAGGCCCCTTAAAGCAACAAGTACTGTACTACCACAACCACTATTATGATTCCAAAATATGAAACCAAATCAGCACTGGATTATGTCTGATACGAGTAGGGGTTGGGTGTAAATGGGACTGCCCAGTATGGGCCAATAGGCCTGCTGCAGTTTCCTCCATTATTATGAGTAGGCCACTGAATACTGAAAAAACAAGGGTTAGTCAAGAAGGCTTAAGAGTTCTTTCCAGTTAACATCCAATACAGTACATGTTTGTTCTCATTTTTAATATTGTAGCCGCATGGGCACTGATGTACTTCCCACAACATGAAAGGTTTCCGAAGTAGCCCAAACATAAAGTTGAAGAAAATTTGCAATTCTTCTTCATTACCAGATGCTTTCCGGTAATTTCTGAGAACATCGCTACCACCAGATGGAATTGTTCGATTTCGATCCTTTTTTCCACAGATGTTTTAATCATTATAGCAAGTATTTTAAAAGATGCAAGAACTTTAGTTTTCATTATAACCAACCTAACCTAGCCACAGAACCCAGGAACTATATCCAATCTAACCGGGAGGCTACTTATTCTGATCGTTAAATTCCTAAGATACCCGGATGACTGAAAGTAAAATAATACAGTATTGCAGTCCTATTCTGTCAAGGAAGCTACTGTGCCAACCCAACCAATCTAATTAAAAAAAACAAACATTCTAAGATTGTTTAAATTGATCTTACTGACCAAGAAATGAAGAAAAAAATATCATGGCATTTTCTTTGTGTTGACTCAGCCTCAAGGACAGTGTATTATGTGAAAATCAGCCCCAATCTGGCATCTATTGTACTACTCTGGTCATTAATACAAAGTGAATTAACCCAAATTAAGCCAAACTAATACAGGCTGATCACAACTTGATTAGGCATCAACATTAAAGTGGCAGCCATATTATACACGGATCAGCAGTGCTAAAGGTCAAGTAAAATGAAACTACCTGAGCAGGTGCCAGCTGTACTGCCAATGACTAGCACCAACCAGCTGATTACAGTTAAGACATGGTGCAACTCTCCTGCAGACAGATAACCCCGTTCCTTGTATTATATTAACCAATGGTCATCTGATATATCTACCATTTAAGGGTTGAACTGTTGTTAAAGTAAACATCTGGATTGACCCAGTTTTGCCTTACACGATGCTTGTAAGTGTTCCTTCAGGCTGAACTTTGAAGCTGAAACATTATACTACCTACCATTAACCTTAGAATATTCTATAACTTCCCCGGTCCATACCTTCACTTCTAGTCCTATGTATATGGTGTACAGTTGAAGAATTTCCTACACACTCTTAAGTTATTATTACTCACGTCTGATGAATTTCTAAACAGTGATTCATTTGATCCGATGGGCGTTCTCTCCCACCCGTTGTGTTATGTGTCTATTTACAGCTTATAACACACATTTACCGCCATAATACATGCATATATATACAGAGTTACCTTAGTCGTTCGTATATTCTAATTAACTTACCATGATACTTCCTTATCACAGGTAACTTTAGACTAAAAATAAGAATATCTTCACCGTCGGGCGGCTGCTATCGGCTCCCTGTATCACTAGTAAGACGAGCATCTGAAACTCACTTAAGAAAATCTCAATATATTCTCTAGCTTCTAATAAGAATAAATATTATAATTGTCTATAACTAATATTTTATAACATCTATTTATTTGTTGATAATTGTTATTTTATCATGTAATTGTAGTTAGTTATATAGACTCTCATGTGATCCTGAGGTAGGTCACGTGACGTATACTTCCGGAGTGTTTTGGTTCAGACTGAGACTTGTTATCAGTGGCCTTAATTACACCTTTAACCACACATTAACCCTATATCTGTAACTAAAAAGACTCAAGTAACTAGCTACATTGATCTTAACTCCTACATTACCTCCATGATAACTTGTGTAGAGATAATAGGGTGGTTGGTGTTAGGTTGTGATCATCTTGTTCCTTCACCTGTCAAAGTTTTAATCATCTCTTTAACGTGTTGGTCTGTGTTGTAGTTCTCGGTGATTACGAGGGTATAGAGCTGTGTGTGTTATATGTGTCTTGGTAATAGTGTGATAAGTGAGGATGCCCACCCAGACCCCAGGTAGTAAGGTGGCCTCGGGAGAACCTGCTGAGATTCGTGTAAAAATTGCTTATAGTGGGTGAGTCAATACCTGTTTTTTTTATATATATATATATATATTTTGTCTGGTAATACTCTGGAATATGGTCCTGGGTTAATTAGATGTAGATTTTTTTATTCTAATATAACATAACTTCTTTCATGCTTCAAGAATATCCCCCAAACAGGTACAGTATATGGAATTGTAATATTAGTAATTTTGTGTTTCCTTAGTTGTTATTATTTATAAATACACTCCATCCATCTGCCACCACGTGTAGTACTTAAATTATTGTCAAAAGTTTCCCAGCGACCAACTGAACACTTAAATATGACTCTTCCCAGTTACCTTTCCATACCTTACCTAACCTAACCTAACGTAATATACCATTCTTCCATTCTAATTTAGGTAGATTTGGTTACTTCATATTATCTACAATGATTTATATCATGTAACAGTCACTGGAAGTATTTATGTGTGTGGAATGATTGCTGGGAAGTGTTTGTATAGTATATATGTTCCTGTCCATGAAATGATCCATGCTCATGTATTAAACCAATGAAACATCATGGGGAGGACGGAGCTTTAATTATTTATTGTAATACTGGAGAAGAGTAATGTACGTTACCCAGCAACATGATGAATTTTTTTATAAAAGATAAATGCTTTCTTGCCTCTTGAAAATTCCATAAAGTGATGAGGGTTTGTAATTTGTATCCTAATATTTTTGTGAATTATTTTTTGTCCTGAACAATACGTACCATAATATATGTTGACGTACCAGACTTACCTCCTGGCAAAGTCATCTTCAGTGTTTACATTGTTTATTTGTTGAGCACTTTGTTTCATACCATTCCAAACACATGAACAGTGAGCATCTTTAGAACAGTGTTGTATAGTAGATGACACAATAACTTTCTTATTAAATTTGATGATATTGTTTTTGCAATTACAAGAATTGATGAGGATTTGCAAATTTAGTAATATTTTTGTGTTGATTTTCTCCTAAATACCTTACCTTACTAGACACAGGTCATTAAACCTCCGTGTCCAGATCTCCTTCAGCATCAAACTCCAAGGAGCTGAGCCTCTATGTGGTGTTTCATATGCAGTGAACATTTAAAAAAGGAACCACTTACTATCTGTTGCTACGGTATACGATATACTAGAGATAAAATGAATCGATCAAACCTAATCTACCTAATTATAACTTAGAATTAGTAGGTTAGGTTGGTTCATCTTACACTTGATAACTAATATAATGTAGTAGTAGCTGGTATAAGTTTTTTGAAGTTCCTGTGGCTGAACTAAACCTCCAGATGTAAACAGTGAATATGGCACTGTAGTGTGTCAACTGAGACCAGTGTTCAAGATGGAAAATATCATAAAAATAATACTACAGTGTGCAAATTGTTAATCCTCACCACTTTATAGGATTTTCATGAAGTAAAAAAAGCATTTATCCTCTATAGTAAAATGCTCTCAAGTTCGTGGCTAACATGTGATACTGTTGTTAAGTACAATATATGCAGTACAGTATTACCTTTACAGTATAACAAGAACTGGAGAAACGCAAAATTACAAAAACTACAATTCCTTCATCTATTTTGGGATATACTTGAGGTAAGGAGAAGGTTATCTTCCGTAGAAATGTTTCTCTAGTTGTTGATTAACCCAGGCTCATGTTCCAGAGTATTGGGTTTGATAATTTACTTTACCACTCATTTTTTCAAACACCCAAGGCAGTAAGTTCAAAGAGGAATCCCGAACATAAGGTTAGTTTAAATTGACCCAAGAAATGGATTCATCAAAGCTGTTATTTGAGTATGACAGATTCATTTCTCGGGTCACTTAAAAGTAACCCGATGTTTGGGATTCCTCTTCGGACTTACTGCCTTGGGTGTTTTAAAAAATGGGTTTATATGATTTTGTACAGTAGTTTCTAATACAGTGCCATATAGTTTAATGGATAAGAACAGAACTGACTGTGTATTTGGTATCCATATTCTGATTGATGGGTAAAGTAGTTATCAAGGATTGACTTAAAACTGTAAATCAAGGGCCAACTGTATTATGGACAAAGGCTTCAAGACCTGTATATCCAGATCTTAAGCTTCTTCTTTTATCTTCATGGATCATGTATTATAATATTAATGACTGATTAAACACCAGAGTTGTTCTTTTAAAGCATCAGACTTTTTAATGGAAATAATTATGGTGTTTTCCCCCACAGAGAGGTTTACATTACCTACATCCCACCAACACTAGAGGTGGAGGCACTGCAACAAGAGATCCGAGCCATATGCAAGTTTGACTCCACCCAAGTGTTCACCCTCAAGTGGGTCGACGAGGAAGGTGAGCATATAATGTTCCTATAATGTGGACTGATTCTTTCTTAGGTTTGGCTTTCTCAGGTGGATGTCTATCTGGTAGTCCTATTGTAACAAGGGTCTCTGCTGTTTTACCACAATCACGTCTTTAAATACAAGTGGGTGATAAGAAAATGGATGGGACTTTAGGTTATATGGAATGTCAGGAATTGATGAGAATGAAATTGTGTAGGTATTGTACAGTATCACCATTACCACTCATGTAATCTGAGGTCCGGTCGATTTTTATGGTGCCTGGGAGAGGACTTGTTACCATCTTTGTATGAAGTGTTGGGTCCATATGATGCCACACACAAATAAGAAAACCTGGGAAGCTTACAGTTGCACACAGCTTAACCTACCTACCTCCCTACCTACATACATACATAGTGAATTCATCGTACAGAAAATTAGAATTTGACAACTGGGTTGAAGGATGATTTTTTTTTTTTTTAACACGTGTCTTTTATCACCTTTGGTTTCATGTTAACTTGGTAGTGACGGACAGTGTGTTGTCTGTTTCAAGTCTCTGGTACAGTAGCTCTAAACCTGAAGTGGCAGTAGAGTATTTAATTTATAAAGAGGATGTAATCTTTCTGATAATTTTAAATTTATTCTAGTCTGATCCAGTGTCCTCTTTTTAACTGTCTGTTTGTACCTCTTGATAAACATTGTGATTGGTGATTTTCAACTAAAGCTTGTGATTTTATTTTGGTACTTTCAGGGGACCCATGCACCATCTCATCACAACAGGAGCTGGATGAAGCACTCCGTCTGTATGACCTCAACAAGGACTCCGAGCTAACAATTCACGGTGAGTAGAAAGTCCATCTTTTGTTTCACAGGTCTTAAGGGTGCTCTTTGAAATGCCATCAATTCATATTGGAAGAACACATGCTCCACAAACTATCTTTACAATTTTGTGTGAGACGGTATGGCACAGCAGACAAGGGATTTTGACAGCCCTACGGACACAACACGAGCTGTGATGTTCATTTTGAATTCATCGGATCCCTCCATAAAGATACTATTTGGAGAGGGTGTATATAATTTTGGTTATATGTTAAACAGTAGTTGACCTTGTGATTCAGCCAATGTATACACCATGTGGTACAATTTGTGCTTATGTTACTGAAGTTAAGATCAGTGATACAGTATTCGAGTGCTTCTGCTGATGTACTCACTATTTGCCGTACAACTCGTGATCTTGTAATAGGTGAGATGAAGGGCCTTCTAGTGCTTCAGCTGCTGTGCTTATTGCTTGTTCTATGACCTTGTTGTACTGTAGTGGGATCTAGGTCTTTCACTGCCTAAGCAAATACAGTCACTGTTCACACCTTATTAATGCCAAAGACATCTTAACATTTATTAAAATTTAACCTACATTTGTGAAGTGATAAACCAAACTCAGTATTGAAGGTTATAAGAGAAATTAACTCCTGCAGTAATTAAGTTATGAATGGAGCAGTATATACCTGAAATGAAAATAAATTCTTTTATTGCATGTAGACGTATTGTTCCACCTGTGATGGTGGAAGAAATCTGACATTTGTGATGCAAAGGGGAAGTTGTCACATTCATTAATTTTATTCAGATGATACTGGGCTGTTAGTTGGGCCTGGGGAGAGTTAGAGTATGAAGGTGAATACAATAAAGAGAAAATTGTGGCATTTGAAAGGGAGGGTCAGCCTCATTACCATACCACTTAGTGAAGGAGATGTGGAGTTGTGAATGAATACTGTACATGTTCTTGAGAGCAGTGTTCAAGACAGAAATGGATAAGTCTAGTTATTTAATAGAATGATACAAGGAGAGGGAACACGTGAATTCCTTACAGCAGTTTTAATAAGAAGGATCTAAGTACAATACCGGTACAGTTTTGTATAGAGTAGAGTGAGTAAGGAAACTACATGGAGGGCTTGTTGCAACTTATATTTAGATGTAAAAATTTAGTGTTTCAAGAAATGGTGGCAGTAGATACGGACAGTTTGTGACTCATTGCAGGAGTTCAGAGCATTATAAAGGTAAAGAATGAAGATGTAAGAAAAGGAATGTACAGTAGAGGGTAGGAAAGTCTCTCACTAGTTGATTAAATGGAAATAGTTTGAGATGGAGCAGATACATGGACAGCACAGTACAGTATTGAGAAGAAAGTTTTTTTAGTTTAACAAATGTATTGACAAAGCTTGGAGTACAGTTTGCCTATTCTGAGTAATTCAGTCAGGTCTTGACACTGAGGGTGGTATCACTTCTCACTGCCATGCAGGACAGAGGTTTGTACACAAAGAAATACATCATATTCATTAACAGTATATATAGGTCAGATTCATGTGGGTGATGTCACTGTTCACTGCCATGCAGGACAGTGGTTCATATACATTGGACGTCATATTCTAATTGAAGACTAATCAGTGTGGGCTAGAAAATTTGGGATAAACAGCAAGAATGTCCTCAAGCACCCCTGATTCAATGTAGTAATTACAAAGTTCATGATACAATAAGTCTGGTGGCCTGAAGTCTTTGACAGTGTCACATTCAATAATATAGTGTTCAAGTGTATGCTTTAGAGGTTTATCACAAAGTTTACGTGCTGAGTGTTCCGGTATGGGTACAGCGTTACTAACTTGCCAGATGTGTCTGTATCCTAGCCTAATTCTGGTCACGACTACATTACATTGTCTGGTTAAGATTCACAACAGTTCATTTCTATTAACCCTTAATCTGCTCCCATATACACTTGGCTCTGCACTTGACCACCATCACTTCCCAAACTGGATTTATACAGAGGAATAAATTTTGTATGTGATTATGTTTGTATATAGAAATTTGATGACTGTACCTAGTATAAACAGTGACCTGGTATAAAGAATTGTTACTTAGTGTGCAAGTTAAGGGTGAACACTGTATGTACAGTATGTGTGTGTGTGTGTGTTGGGGAGTACTGTACAGGATTTGAAATAGCTCCTTCCTGTGTCTTTCTACACTTATCTTGCACCACTCTTTCCTACCACTTCCTCTCTTGAGTCCACGAGTGCAGGGTATCATACCATACAGTACATGTACAGTCAGAGACAAAGGTTCACTCTCCGTGGTGAAACTGAGTCATGGAAATGGGTCTCCGAACTGACTTACCCTGACTGTTTTATCTCATATGAGGTCGATGCTGCTTCATTTTGGGTGGGAGTGAACTTTGGATGGAATTCAGTGCTTATTATTAGTTTACTGTTGTGTATAGAACAGCAGCTATATCACAACAAAGATGCGTTTTGTCACATGTTTTGCATCTTGGTAGGTGGTGCTTTTTGCATTGTGTGGTGGTCATTCTTTGAGATTTGTAGGGGTCATGGTTCAAGCAACAACAACAAACCCTGGCTGCTTTGTTCGTGCTGTTACATACACACTGACAGATAAAACTCATTGTGGTAGGGCAGTCATGGGATCACCTGAAGATTACCACCCCAGTTCGTTTCACCTGAAGATGAAACACGCTAGTCCTAACCTAACTTAGCATAAACTAACTCCTCTAGGTAGCATTAGGTTGGTTAATCTTAAGATGAAACTTTCTGGGGTACCTAATCTTCATGTGATCCAAGTCATTAAGTTGGTCAAAATTAAGCCATTCTTTCCTAATGTTGTAATGAAATTGTAAGTGTAATGCTCAACAAAATGTCAGAGCCACTATGATACAGAAACATAAAGGCTAATACTGTACTGTAGTTTATGGTGGACTAGCACATCTCCTGAGCGCTCGAGGATGCTTCCTACACATGTGGACGGGTCAATGTCCTCGTTACTCATCAATTCACTACTGTACCAATAAAGGTTCTCGTTTTCTTTCACTCAAACATTTTCTTTGGTGAGTTATGGGCATACTATTATAAAAAGGTATGTGGTCAGGTGACTAGTGTGACGATTAATAGCTCTGTTCCAAGCCTCCTCTAACCAATGAGAAAGTGATTGCCGTTCAAAACATGACAAAGGGGAATGGGATATTGTGCAGTAATAAGGATTTAGTTGAATTGAAGTGTTGGTAATAAGTATTTAATGGCTTTGTCAGTTGGCCTTGGTTAAATTGCTTGTATACCTGCACTATCTAGGTAATTCATTAGAAACTTTAAACCTCCATGCTGAAATGTATACTGTACCTCCATTGTCTATATTCACGCCAAACTAATTGTAAACCTGTATGGGGATTTTAGTCAATTATATTTTTATCATTATTATTGTTATTATTATTATCGTTTCTGTGTAAAGTAGGGTAGTATAGTATCTCTCGTTATCTTGGGTATCCTGTTGGTCAGTGTGTCATCCAGTTAAGGTTTTTCACACACTTATACATTCTCTGCTCTGGCTAACTTATAAAGGCTAGATGAATTGCGTTTATTTATTTATTTATTTATTTATTTTTGCCTTTACAACGACTTAATTTGGAAGTTCCCGCCCACCATTCGTGTTGTGTTTAGTGAGTATGCTACGCAGCTTGGGTCTGTACATAGGAACACATTATCAGTTGATGCGTTAATTAGCAGTAGACATCAGGACTTAATAAAAATTGTAGCTTTGTGTTTAATTATTGTATCTCTTATTGTGTGTTTTTTTTTCGTTGATTACTGTTCGTTTACAAGGACGTTAATTTATTTAGCCGTTCATGAATGTAACTGTAATTCGATTATTATTATTAGTAGTAGTGGTGGTTTTTTGTTTGTTTATGTATATATAATTTTTTTATTGAGTTATTTCAACATTAAAGTCGTGTATAAAACAGTTGCCCCTAAATTCCTACGAAGTTAGTGAATGTTAAAAGCCTTATACAGTAACAGGTTCGCGTTTTGACAAGTGACCTGCTGACAACTGACACACACACACACTGGCGTTAATAGAAGGAGCCCCAACCAGGCGTGTAGTGGAGATATGCCAGCTGTCACTCTCTCTTCTGGGTGGTGAGTGAAGATAGTCTCCTAGCTGGCCGTGTGTGGTGGATCTTGGATTGGATGTTGGCGTTGTTTATATCTGGGAGTGCTGCAGAAGTTGTTTATTTCTTGGGAGAAGGATGGACTGATGCCTTCATGCCCACTTGCTGTTCCCACTCATGCCCCTAACCAGCCACTCATGCCCTGGGCCAGTTACTCACGCTCCTAACCAGTCACTCATGCCCTTAGCCACTGTCACTCATCCTTGCCACGCTGATGATGAAGTACAGTGTAGTGCGTTCCTCGGTCACTCACTCATGTCCACACACACGTACACACACAGTCAGGTCCGTGTCTCAGCCCTTGTCATTCACCTCAGGAATATTAAAGCTTGGCGTTATTGTCCTGTCCACTTTCAGTCATCCTTGCCAAGATGCTGAGCCTTCTCTTAGCCTCTGTACTTCCTAGCCACGCAAGTTTTATGCTCGTCTCCTAGCCTCTATTGTTTGTCCTAGCCACACAAGTTATGTTATGGCCGTCTCCTAGCCTCTGTACGTCCTAGCCATATAAGCTACAGTATCCCCCCTGTTAGCCACACCATCCCTAGGGCACAGTAACCCAGGTTTTTCTCTTAGCCACGATCAGGCATCCTTATAGCATTACTAAACCTGTATTAGAGTACTGTACTTTTTAATTGTGTATACCGTATAGATATGGGATAATGTGTCGGAGAATCCGGGAGTAGGGGTAGGGGTGTAGGGGTGAGTAACAGGATCCCGTAGTTGTAGGCGGTGTGGCACGGGTCCCGGGGTGAGTGTGCCTGCCTGTGCTGCCAGTTTACCCAGAGTCATTCAGCGGGACAGTGCCAGTGTTCCGGATGTAGTGGGTGTGTGTGTGTTGTGCC